GATACAGTAAAAGTAGCTTGTATGGCTGCTAACTGTAATATAACCGATTCATACACAGGCTAATCCGTACAATCTGGAGGCCAATAAGAACCTGCAGGAGGACTCCAGCAAATAGCGTCTGCATCAGCGCGGGGTACGTGATCCCTAAAGGGTTCTTTGACGCCCCACTTAACGTAGCCTCGTTTACAGCTACCAACCCAGAGAGAGGCTGGCTATCTCAATACGGGAACGCGAAGGACTGCGGGGCGCAATGTTGGGTATGTATCATATCCCAGGCAGCCTTATCAATTGGTCGGATGTACCCAGTATTTTAATACCAGCGGACCGATGTATGCACTAGGCTGTCTTAGTTAAGAAAAGCTCAGGACAATTATAAAGGCACAGCAGACCGTTCTAGATGAGGACATAACATTTAAGGTGTTAGACCCGTGGGTTTCCGGAGAACTATACACCACTATCTATCATGTATGCATAACACTGACTGACGCCAACTCATCACTGCCTATAACCCCAGCGAATAATCTCATAAAGTGGTTGAGATTCTCGTATCATCGAGCCATCTGTCGAAGTTGGCCGGGGCACCTGGACAGGGAAGACCTGGTTGGGCAGAAGAGGGGACTTAGAGGCGCCCAAGGGGGTCATCGTTGAGAAATGGATTTTTGGATCAAAACTGATCAAGATCAGAACCTTATGGCCTTCGGGAAGTCCAGGACATTGTATCGAATAGATGAGAGACCGCTCGTCTGCAATAGCATTGACTCCGGTAATGCGCATGCCGGGGCACAAGAGCCGGGTCAATTCTGAGGGCGCATCTTCGGCTGGCCACATATGCGCGCCGCCAGATATGAAACGCTCTTCGGAGTGCTCGACTGGAGTCCCGTCAAGATTCTGCTGTGTAGGTTTGAAGAGGAGGCCAGCTGGCCCATCAATACCTTCTTCGTCGATCGGGCATTTCCGCTTCCGTGAGACGGCTCGAAGTCGCAGGCGATCTTGGGTCCGTACGCCCGCGGTAGGGGGAACTGGGTCGTTTACCAGATCGACGAAGGTCGATGCTGAGAGATGATACGTGCGGTATTTTGTGCGTGCAGGGATGAATTCTTTGCGCCTCCCGGGCCATGACTTGGTTCATGTTCGGGGTGGTAGTGACGGCGAAGCCGCTTTGAGGGTCGTTCATTGTATGGGCCATGGCTTGCTGTAGAGTCGTCTAGGTCCAGGGTCGCCGGAGTGATATCCTCGCCATCATGTTCATCAGCGGTACTTGGACAAGGAAGTTGCTGAGTATAGTAGGTGCGGTGGTTCTCACTTTTCCCACCCGGCCATTCCCGGCGGCATTCGAGGATGACCGGTTGACCAGTTCTCTCGTCCGTGCGGATAGAAAGATCCGTCCACATTTCATTGATAGGACCCTCGCAGTGCTCACGACGCCACAGGCGTCCACTCCATTTGCGGCGGCTGTTGCGAGGTGCATGGCATGACCAATAGTAGAAGGAGGAGCATCTCTCCGCTTCGTCACGATAGGAGGAGGAAAGTCTCTCATTACTGTCCGAAGTAGACAGAGTTGAGACGGCATAAAGGTGATCCCTATAAATCTCAAAGCACAAGGACTGGCCGAGGTCTCCATCAGCAGGCCAATCCAAAGAGCAATGGATTGGCTCGGATGGTGAGGCGATATCGACACCGAAAATAGACCAGGTCCCATTACAGACGCCATACCAAAGATAGGACCGGCTATGTCGTACGAACATAGATGCCGATGCCGGCACAGCTCTCTGGAGTAGCAGCTTTATCTGCGCACGCTGTGTCATATCGATCGCGAGTAGAGTGTCGTCCTGGGATCCGAGACCCATGACACGAAATACGACAATTCCATCTGCAAAGCGCAGCAGCTCAACCCGACCGGATGCATCGCCATCTGCAGAGCCTGCGTGTAAACCGGGGAGAATGTTGTTTAGATCAAGGACACGTTCTTGGTGGCCTGCTGAATGCACGTCGAGCAAACGGATCTCGTGGCCGACGTGGTAGCAAAGGAATCCCTGGTTATAGAGAAAATCTGTACCGTAGGCTAGAGCACAGGCCGAATAAGGAGCCGCAGTGGCGACTGCCTCGTGGATATCGAAGCGATGCCCAACCGCACTGCGATAGCCGGTCTGAGCGGTCAAGGCAGACTGCCCCTCTCGGGTGAACAATAAGGCGCTCTGGGAAGCTTCGAGTTAGCCTTGGCCTAAACCCCAAACGGTGTAAAGCTACCGGAGGAACTTGTCACGCCTACCTCCAGTGGTTTTTTTGCCAGCAGGTCACTCTTCATGGTTTCATGAATGTGTCGGCTAGTTCTGCTGAGATTGACATAGTCGCGGTCATCCAGCAAGGTTGCAATTTCATAGAAGATATCAAAGGGGAGGGAGGCCAGCCCCGGGGCCGCTGGCATGGCTGGAGGAAGTCTAACGCGACTCAATTACGTTCCGTAGAAGGCGGGGTTAAGAGGAAAAGGTACGGGGTAACTGCGAAGAGAGTGAGCGGGTATGGGGTCGAGGGAGGAGGAGGGGGGTGGGGGGAACGAGAGACGTTAGGTTTCAATATATGGGCACGATCCAGTAAGAGCCTCATCGCTCACAGTGGTCGGGTGGTCGGAAAGAAAGCGGATTAGTCTCCTGACTTGGGGGACCGAGCTTCGGCAACCTCTACGCCGATCTCAAAATGCCTTGTACTGTTCCTAGTCCGTGGTTGTGCCTTGGTGAGTAATTTTGAGATTCTGCTACAGAGTCAGCGCTGTGGAAGCCTTGTAAGTAGGAAAAGACTTGGCCTTGAGGGCTGATGACACAGTGGCCGATTAGCCATCTCGTCACGATAAGCCGGTATTAGCTTCGTCATCTTAGCTCCTGCTATGGGCTTTGGGTTCATGAGGTGGCATCCACCAGGAATTGACGGGAGACAAAGGCTAGGATCCCGTTGGCACGCTATGGAGGAGCGGTGTTCCTAGGAGCCCCAATGTGGGTCCCAGGACTGTGGCCGGAATCTGGGCTGGTAAGACCGATCGACCTATGGGCTGGCTTTTGGTGACCCACCGGTTTGTTGCAGCTGATGATGAGGCTTGGCTTTAGGCTGATCGGCATTATGTGCCCGGAAGGGGGATTGCTGTGGATGAATTGGTGTTGATACAAAAATACGAAAAATATATTTTACAGAAACAATGCTACTGGGTAACCACAATGGGAAAAGTGGCGCGGGACGGACTCGCACGTACATTCAGGCCATTGGAGCATCGCCATATGGTGGAGCGGTGGACTAATATGGGGCGAAGAGGCCTTCTCGAGCAGTATTTGCTAACGCCTACAGATTGTCGGTCTATTTGATTGTGTACAGACCTCCAGTACGCTCTCGGACTCAGGGCTGACAGAGATGATCTCTCCGTCGCTACACCTGGGCATAGGAGATCCGCTCTATCTCCAGGACTTGGAACTGATGATAAATTGGTGCACCAGCACATGTAGGGTGGTCCCTGCTTGAGTTGGCCCCGGCGCCGGTCGCTCCTTGAGCTTTTTCGGTGTGATGATCACCAACACATCTTCCCCCTTTCCATCTATGCTCTCCATCTCACAGGGCTTGAAGATCCTAAGTGGCCGAAAAACCGGCCCAAGGGAAGCGAGGATCTGGCGCGATACTCCGCCAATTACAAGGTCTTTCATATATTGTCAGCTATTGAAAAGAAGAGATGAAGCCCAGGTTCCTCTTAACGAGGCTGAGATCCCACTTCGACTGGTTGGTAGAATAAAGACAGCTAGAAACCTTGCTTTTGACGCTAGTGCTGACCGAAAGTTCCATTTTCGGCTCAGTCTAATCATCCTCGTATGTTTATGGACGCTAGCGTAATGTATCTTCCATTCTCTTTTCTTACATACCGAAATGGGTTTCTCAGGGGTGGGAGCTAATAGGGGCGGGAGCTGAGTACGACCCACATTTTGGGACTCCAAGAAACAGGAACAGCGGCAAAATAATTCATACGAATACTCATTGGCATAAGATGTTCTAGACTGGAGCAAGCTCCACTTAGATCAGACCCACCCTGAACTTGTGTGGTTCTACGCGCTCAACCTTGACCCGACCAATCCCAAAAGCCAATCATAACACATTGAAACGACGGATGTTAAAGAGATTGCTGGTCTAGAATCGAGCCACCCCTCCTGAAACTTGGACCCGTCCGGCGTTCCGGCCCATCCGGCACTCCAGCTTCGCATACTGCCCCCATAATAAACAGCGTAGATTAAAATCTTAGGTAAAGAATTATATGGCTCTGGTTCTCTACGGATGTCTTGGAGCATCAGAGTCGCTTTAAGCCCTCCAAGCCTGGATAATCTATGGCTTATTACAGGGATAAAACACCTTGACTGAATGTGGCTAGTCATCGGCATGAGATACGTCCTCAGAGGCCGGGGTCAATTTCGGGTCTAACGCCGTTTAGGAAGCTACAGCTGCAATCCACGTATTCGAGACTAAACTTCCCGAGAGGAGTACTACAAGTAATTTCACGGGATTTTTGTACGATCAGCGTCTCCACTCCTCTGTCCCCTGCAAAGTACAAGGCTTCCAGCCTCCTAAATACGGGTCTAACAACCTATTCTAGGGAGAACACCACAATCTCGTTTGGAAGGGAGACCGTACTTGAATCTATCCAGTGAGTTGAACGGCAGGCCTTTCAGGGCAAGTATACTGCTAGACAAGCCAGCCTGTATAGACACCTATTATTAGAAAAAGTCTGGTCATGATCCGGTCTGTTCCATTTTCTCGTCGTCATGGGTCCCAGCACGAACGTAATAGAACTAGATTATGCGGCATGACGGTAATATTTAGGTGCTACATCAAGTACATGCAAAATGGTATATTGCGCCCCACTTCGTCCTACTGCGAACAGAACGGTGCATGCTGTTCTAGCAACCAGTCATATATTGGCGAAAGTTTCGGGTATTGGTCGGGTCAAGGTTGAGCGCGTAGATACCCAGAAAAGTTCAGAGTGGGTCTGATATAACGGAGCCAAAGTGACCACGATCATATGGAATTGTGACCCTGTAATAATACGTCCATCCAGATCTTGTGTAACCGGCTGGCACGTATGACGTACCCAGAATACTTTCGCCCAGCGTTTAGAAGCCCTTCGTGTTCCCTATTCAGGAGAAGGTTTGGGACCAATTGTACCTCCGCGTCCGACATAAAATGGAACCTTGACAGTACGCTCATAAGAACGAGCCAAAGACCTGGCTCGTGAGTCTCGGTTTCCACAAAAGACATTCTAAGTCCATTCTGGATGGCTTGCGTCACGGACCGGGTTGGGTCTTTTAGCCCTGCGTTGCGTAGGAAATTGGCAATTGTCTCGTTAGGTATCTCTCGTAAACGCCTAGAAAGATACCGTAATGTAAGTGCGCGAAGAAAGTACCCTTTGGGGTCTAACGAGCGCACGGTGGCGTATTTAATTCTGGGATCTTCCTCGGGCTTGCCATTCTCAGACCTCAGAATCAAGCCACTGGGATCGGATAGCTTTTCTAGGAAATTTTGAGTCGCTATCAGGTCATTTGACGCATTAATAAGCAGATTTGTCGCAGTCACGGAGCGGCTATTGGATCTCACGATCCTGTCTTGGAATGCTCGATCAAAAATGACGGGTTCTGAATTTGTCATGCCGAACGGATGATCCATCGCTAGGAACCTCTCAGCCCCGAATGCCGACGCCACAAATTTTAGACTGTGTTTGTCGATGTAGAGACCGACGATCTCTCTAGACACCCCCGCCCACATCAAAAGGCCAGACCCGCCAACTCCCTGCTCTATCCAGTTTCCACCGCGCATGATAAGTATCTGGTCTGCCCGGATTCGTAACTCGGTAGCTTCGCGATGACGCAGCTCCTCTTCAGTGCGTATACTGTGGGATCCAGGATAGACTTTGAATAAGCCATCCTCTGGCCCAAGGCTGCTTATGACCGGTCTCCAAATGGCGAATCCTTCACGACAAGGATGCGCTTTGCAAAGCTTGGACCGAGCGGGACTAGAACCTAACTTATAGATGATCGGCCCCTGCCGGAGCACCTCTTCTGAACGTTCAAAGTAGGGCAGAAAAATAAGGGGTTTCACCTATCTCGCAATATTAGGAACCAGTTCTGTTTACACATGCTATACTCACATTGAGGTCAGCCTCTATAAGTTCCTCCCACGCTATTTTATCATTGGTAGAAGCCAGATCCCCCGTTCTATCGGAGATGGAGAGATGATTTGTCTCGATTTCTCCAAGTCTGAAATACCGCAGGAGGGTATCTTCCTTCATTGGTTTACTGTTGACAAAGAAGTACCCTTGGTTCTCCATCGCTGTATTTTCATCCAATTCCACCTTCAGATAGGGCGTCGTCGCTGCTTGAACGCGGGGGTGTTAGTGAGGGGCACCATCTTTCTTAGTTAGCTTCGTCGGCTTAGGTAATCGAACTTCAGAGGATCTCGGGACCTCGGATGACCACTCAATGTCAATGAGTGGAATCATAAAGCTGTTTTCGTTATCTACCCCCTTTCTATACCCGGGGCGAGCGATCCTCTTATCCAGATTCCACAAACAAATGCACGTATGCGAGGTCGATATCGGTTGTTGATTCTTGATGGTCATGGAAGCCATTTAACACCTCAAATCGATCGAATTTGCGCCGAAAATAATATCATACCACTCTGTATGCCTGCACAGAGAAGAATGCACGAGATAAAAAAGCAATCAGACTCAGCATTCAGATAAAATATCCTATTTGTTGAATATAAGCCAACGGCGCTAAGATGATAAGAAAGTAGATTGAAGGCACAGACGCTGCCAGTGGTATTGTTATACAAGGTCCCACGGCTCGCCGGGAAAGATGTCTTCGAAGATTTCGGTGAGAATCTTCGCGTCAGCCCGGAGGGTTGGGGAAATATTTTCGTTGCGGAGCAAGAATTTGATTGTTCGGCGAAGGAGATACTTGAGTTTGGAGCCTTCGATGAGTTCTTGGAGCCCGGAGCGGTATGTTGCAGCGAGGACGAGCATGTTTCCGAATTGGCTGCAAAGAACGCGGTTAATGAAACAAGTACTGACGTGGGAATCAGGTGGCACTTACGCATGAGCAGTGCCGAAGATATTGGTGACTACAAGTCGATCCTTGATGCCGTCGAAGGCCTCAGTGCTCTTTATGGCAGAGTCGACACAGATGACACAGCCTCGACGAAGCTTAGATGGTAGATCAGCGAGTTTGACCGTGGGGGGGGTTCCAGTGGAGAGCGTGATACAAGAGCGGGCGATGGATAATGTACCGAGCACCGAAGTATTTTGCTCGCATGCGAGCGACATTGATATCGTCAGAAATTTCTTCCCCATCCTTCCACTTCATGATGTCTGGAAGGCTGCTATGGAAGAGGTCTAGGTTTATACTCAATGCTTCCTGAACATGGGTAGTCCAACGTGGCTCTGCGCCCTTTTCTGCTGCCTTGTTTAGTAGGATGTTCAATCATACTGCCGTGACAGTGCTGAGGGTTCGTACTCGCTACTTTATATAGATCAGTGTGCACACGATTCAAGAGCTTCCGAAGGTGGATTTGTGCAGAGTAGTACAGCATATCAGTATCATCTGGGAAGCCGAGACTGTACTGTCGACTCGGGAGGCCTATCTGACTTTCTGAGCGAGAAATACCACTCGCTGGGATATCAAGCTCGGCAAGAAGGTCACTTTCTAGCTGCAGACAGGTCCAAAAAGTGAAGCAGATAAGATCTTGCATTTTCTTTGAAGCGGCATCGAGACTCTTCGGTGCAATCAGAACTTGACAAGATCTTGAGGCATCCGAAATCCAAGCATGGCTTTGAAATGGGTGAGCCAGCTGACCGGCATATAGCCCTGCCAACAAACGCGCTTGCACGCTCTTTAACGTGCCCACGCCTTGAAGAGTACCGAGAATCATGGTGGCATATCCGAAAAGGAATAAGCCTGGAATCACGCGGTAATTCTTTGGCCGTCCAGATCCTTCCGTGCATGCCGCACCATTGGACATTGACTTTCGAGGAGGTGTTGGCTCGATTCTTACGGGGAAAGAATGGTTCGTGCTCGGAATTCGGGTATAGAATGAGGTACCAGTAGGCAGAGCCGAGTCGGAATTAGTGGGAGAGGGAACCCTGTTCGCCGCTTGAATACCGTTCGGTTCGGGCTTCCTGGGCTGAGGAGGTCCAGGAATATATTGTTTGCGATAATCAAGTGGCCCCATCAGTCCCGGTAAAGGATCAGGGGTTTCACAAATGGCACCCAAGGCAAAGACCAAGAGAATTATTGCGTTATCAATACTCATCTCGTCTTTAGGGCTCCCGTAGCCATTCGGGGGCAGTGGATAGCCAGTGCAATGCCGCCGGGTATAGTCAATAAAGGTCTGCCATAAACTTGGCTGGTCCAGAAAGGGATGGAGCGTGTGCATCTTGCTCATGTAACAGTCATAATATCGCTTAGCAGTGTTGTATGGTAACGACGGCCAATTATCATCGTCGACCTCAGGCTCTGGGAGCAAGCCATCAGGGAGCACTGTCCCAGGGGTCTCAAGCGTTTTATTTTCAGCCATGCGGTTTCGAGCCATCGCCCACAAGAGGAAACCAGATGAGAAACTGCTTTCTCCTTCACCAAAGGCACTAATGATCGGCCGATCCTTCTCCAATTGCATAACATAGTCTTCGTCGTATCCAGGGTGGCGGATGAGACTTTTAATCGATGGCCACATGAGAAGCTTATGAGCCGCTGTTGTATGTTCCACCGGGATTGACAGTTCGCCTTCGTTGTTCTGGCTATTTGCTTGCTCATCAAATCTTGTTGCTGTCGGATCAGCTTTGGCTAGAGCCTGTGACGTGAAAGAGCCTGGCTTTTCATCCAGGCTCTCTTCTGGCAAAGTCGTTAGCTCCATCTTTAGGGGTGTGTCACGCGGAGGCCTCGACGAACGTATTCCCTTGCTTAGCATTCTTTCATAGACTGCCAATTGGCGGTCAAGGTGGCTAAATCGTTCCATGCACTTGCCCCCAAATTGCTCCAACCTGTCGAGAATGTTCTGGGGCGTCTCGTCCACTTTGCGCGGCGGCATGTACGTGCAATTTAGGTTATTATCGGTGCAATGCCTGCAAGCTGGATGGCTTTCATCACACTTCATCTTCTTGGCTCGACACTGGTCGCATGCTTGCCGCGCGCGGGCAGCCTTACGACGTGCGCCATGGGCCGGGCTTTGTGAATGGGAAGGTGCGTCTGGGAGAACGGGGGTGCCGACTGGGATCCAGGGGGGGGGCGCCGGTTGTCGTAGACTGTGCTGGTAAGCTAGTTTGGTGGCTGTAAGGATTATTGAGGATACCGTGTGAATGTTCTCCGAGACTGTTCCTGAACACGTCTGGTGGTCTTGGTGGTTGATATTGGGGTAGGGAGGGAAGTTGACGGGAACTTGAAGTATTATCAGCGTATTCATAATCTGACGGTGCAGGGCCTTCAGACAGTGACATCTGGCTGCTCAGGAGAGGAATTCCAAAAGGTCAAGGCTATATATGTGTGGATCTGAGGTGCAGGATCTTTCAGCGATATGGTATCAAAGGAAAGTAGCCTGATTCATTCGTCTGAAGTACACATGGGTGGAGTTCACGAAATGAGAGAAGCCGAAGTTGACAGACGGTGTTGGGGGTGGGGGATGTAAGAGTGATGGATCCTGGTATGATTACGGCCACCGGGGATCGACGCATTCAGCCAGTACTGCCTATCCTGGATGACGGGTAATAGGGATTTCCCGATCTCCAGTATATTACCTACTGCCTAGTGCAGATCGATTATCGGTACTCGAACCTGCGAGTGATGTCTCCAGTGGTTCATGACGAAAATCGCCCAGGTAGAATAATCCGGTATTACATATATTTTACATCCATATCGTATTTTAAATATCATCCTTGCCCCTTTGCTCCAATAATATGCAGATGCAGATGCGCGGAGGCCAGTAAACTTTCTCTGCGCCAGGAATGTCAATGGCTGGCCCACATCTAGTTACTCTCCAGGGCTCCGGGGCTGAACTTGCCGCGCTTTGTCAGCAAACGGGGTTTCCAACATCCCCCGGCTGACCTCGCTGATTTTATTTTTAATTCTAGGAAATAGGGCTCACGTAATCATGTTTTGCAGGGCCTCCGGGGCCTGCTGGTTGTATTTACAGGAGCAGAAGCAACGACGAATAATATATGCACAAGTCATGGTGGCTATTAGTATCGTTAATCTCAGGAATGTCGACGTTATCACTTCTAGGCCTATGGTTTGAAGGTAATGCCTGTGAGAAAGGTCCGGATGAAACCGTTCAATTCTGCTGAAGAACAGTATAAGTACCAAATGTAACCTCAGGTAGCAGTCTTATTCTTCCTTCAATTGCTTTGGTGGATATAGAAGAAACTCAAATAGGTGATATAGTATTTTGGATGGTCTTGGCCTAGTGAAGCTTTCATCTGTCCTTCTGAGGGGAGGGGGGACTGTTTCTTCTGTCTAGGTATGGGCATGCAGCCTAGTGGGAGCCTGGGCTAATGTTCCTAAGGTCTCGGTGGTTTTGGGAGTTCCATCGACCGGAATCGTGTTGTTAAATGTCAGCCCCGGCGCACAGTCAATTTCAATCTGCAGCAGCCAGGTCACTATGTAAGAATTGGACCAATGTTCTGTACGACAGCAATTGTGGAAGCTTTTGCGAGTAAGCCTACTTCCGCGCTTATTGCGGCATCCCAAACAGCCATGGCCGCGCAACCTGGAAAGAAGTCTTTCCACTGAATACATGTGTACAGGAGCTGGGGGGTGCGGTCAACGCATAATTGCTTTGGAAGAGACTACACGGCCAAATAGATGAATTTAGATACAATGCTTGATACCATGCGACGGAGCCTACCCTCCCTGGGGTGACTATTTTTGGTCCCCGGCAGTCTTATCAGAGAGCCAACAGGTTCTGGTTAAGTATGATTAACTTGATTTCCCAGAATACGTTCAAGTAGCTCCCATTTTTGTAACGCAAGACCTTGCACTTCCTGAAGCCGCTTGTTGAGATCGACGCAAGGCCGCTCAGCACATAGCTTGCTCTCGCAATAAACATGCATGGAGACTGTGAGGTGCCGGGTTCTATATTCCAGACTATGACAAATCGCCTTGTCAATTCGGTCTTTTAGCTCTTTCCAGTTTTCCAGTTCTTCCATGCTCTCCGCCATGATCTCCAACATCTCCCTACTCTCTGGACCCTCGCTTCTGGCGGCAATCTCAGGTGCTGTCAGCTGTCTGACAGGATTCACCAGCCTGAGATCGCTATGCCAGCTAAGCCATTTTAGCGTCTCAAACTTCCCCAGGTGAATTGCTAACATCAAAGGACTGTCTCCATTCGACTTGGTTTCATCGCATAACACGGACGAATGTTTGTCAAGCCATTCCAGCATTGGTATAGGCTCCTCCTGGTACTTGACGACTGCATGCCACACCGTTTCTCCGTCTGGCCCTCCCGCGCTGTCAATATGAGCCCCGTTGCTCAAAAGATCACTAGCGCTCTCCGGAGTCATGCCCTGCCTGAAGTTGGAATAGACTTCTCCGAGGGCATAGGAGTCATCGCGGGTATAGGAGTCATCGAGGGTATAGGAGCCTTCGTCGGTATAGTAACCTTCATCTGTATAGGAGGAGTCTTCGTGGGCATAGGGCTCTTCGTGGGTATAGAGGTCTTCGTGGATATAGGGGTCGTCGTGGATATGGCTGTATTCGTCGGTACGGGACTCTTCGTGGGTATATGAGTCTCCGTCGGTAGACGAGTCTGGCACTGAGGGTATCTGGTCGTTCCCCATAGATTCGTCCGGGGATTGTAAGAAAATTGGAGTGCCGCAACCTCTTGTCGATGGCTTTTCTGGTGAGCCGGTCCAGCTGCAGGGAATTAGCTGGGGCGAGCCGCGAGAGGGAAACCATCGACCTGAAGCCTGCATGTGCTCGTGCGAGGGCACGACAGAAGCAAGTGCGAACGTGAGTCATTGTGTTGGGAAGTTCACGGGCGTGTGAGTTGCTTGACTGCTGGGTTCAAGTATGCGGTGACCTGTCGAGGCGCTGTTGCCTTTATGGGCAGAGATGGAAATAGGTGAGTGAAATGGATTCTGCTTCAACCTGGAACCCGTCAGATAAGCAGCGACTATATGTATGATCAGCTGGACTTAGTGTCGACATTGGCAAGGGTATTAGGGCGGATTCTATCCTTGACTCCATGCCCATAAAGTATGCGTATGTCCTCCCTCGATGGGACCATACCATTCCAGCGCTCAGGCTCTACCACATCAAGCACTTCTGTGACGAGCGACCGGCTCCACGCGGGCAAGGAGCTCCGCTCGCCACTGTGGATCGTGACCGTGTGTCTGATCTCCCCGACGGCTAGATCGTCGTAATCACGGCGTCTGCGCTCATGGGCTAGGGAAAGGATTATCTAGAACAGGAAGGCGATCGCCATCACAGGCCCTAGGAACCTGGGCCTCCGGCCCGGTCAATTCTCATTGGTGAAAGTGGAGGGCCCCCGGGATAGAGCACTGAGGCCCCTCAATTTCATTTTTATTTCTAGGAAATAGGGCTCATGTAAGCATCTTGCGCAGGGGTCCATGATCGGCCTCCCAGGAGCAACAGCCGCAGAGGACAGTACATGCACATGTCCCTCACACATTGGCTGCTCTGGTCGCTTGCTACCCAAAAGATTTAGCATTTACTCTGGCCCAAGAACATGGTAATTACACACTGGCTGCACGCACTCAGCAACCAAACCTTTAGTTTTAATGGCTCCGTGGGCAATCCACTCCATATGCCGGAGTCCTATAGGCTGGGCTCTCCCCATTAGATTACACCATCCAAGAAAGGTACCATGTCCGTCGGCTACGCGAGAACCCACCCCCCCCTAGGGTCGGTGGTAGGATGCAGGCGAGACAGGATCGGGGTTGCATGCATGTGTCTATCTCGCCTATAATGCCAGGGGTCTATGGAATGATGACGTGCATGAGGCCGTTTTGTTGCGCGTTGCGTCTGTCTATGACACGAATGACTGGGTCAACAGGACGGCAACGTCGGTGTGCCCAAGACGCTCTCCATTGTGCGTGCCGTAAACGTTCCATCTGGACCCGATCCAAGCTTCTGAACCGTTCAGTGGATTTCAGTGGCACTTGGCTTAGGTGAGGTGCTTTGATTGGTTGGGCTCCGCCTGATATTAATTTCCTTCTGGATCGTTCACGCTTGTCTCGTGCTATATAACGAATCGATATCTCACTTCTCATAGAGCGTCCCGTGTTCATACTGTTCTGGTGGTTCTTGAGGTCAACGCTAGGGTATCTGGTATCGCATAAAGCCTCTTCCAGATCAGTGTGCCTTTCAAATCAATCCATCCCCCGGTGACCCCGTAACCCTTTCTCTTCCGTGGTAGGCGTGACCCCTAGAATGTTGAGATGGGAACAATCATGAGCTAACATGTAAGGGCTATCGTGCTCTTAGTGTATCTCCAGAATCACCGTCGATGGCCTACCCTTTGTCCCGGGATGCGTATAGCCCCGTGAAGCCGCCATTCCCATCATCCTTCCCACGGCATTGTGAGTTGGTTTCTCATTTCAACCCACCAGCGCCACCGCGAGGTCAATTTGAGAATGGCAGTCACCGGAGCTATAGCCAGTCGGCTCTGTCCTTGTCCTTACCGCAGATAACTCCATCTATAGCATCGCGGGCAACAAATCTTCCCGCACAGCAGCCCGCCGCCTCCCCCTACTGCCAGCTCTCCATCAGCGTCCCCTAGGAGCACGCCCGACTCCAGTCACGCCGCGGGTATTCCCGAGTCGAATACTCCCTCAGCCGACCTTACCACAAGACCCAGCGCCAGCGGGTATCAGCAATGAGCTCAATATGATCGAAGTCATTGTTGATGAGTCGGGATCTGCAAGCCAAGCTGAAAAGCGGAGAGCAAACAGAGAGGCATCACAGAGATTCCGTCGGCGGAAGTTTGAAAAGTCTGAAACGGAGCGCCTCAAGGACCGTGTGCGGGACCTCAAAAAAGAAATGAAAACCCTTCGTGAGTTAATTTCTGAACGAGACCTCCTTCGTGAGCTAATTTCTGAACGAGGCCTCCTTGTTGACCGATTAAACGGCTTATTGCCTGCTCACACGTCCTTAAGGCCGCATTCTCCACCTGCTCGACCGTCTTCGACCTGACATTTTATTTCCCATAAACCTAACCCATCACCCTGTTCCTCAGCGTTTGCTATGCAAGTTGGGCCTGTAGTTAGGATTTGCGAACAGCGAATCTTTACTATGGAATCATCTATAAACCCACCAGCATCATGAGATCGTTCCCAGTTGCCAACATTAGAGTTGCATCTCTTTGGCGAAGCTGGTATAGCTTCCCCTGCGCCTGTATTCAGAGAGTGATCTTCACTAAGCAGTCGAGAAATTGATTCAAAAGAAATACCATAGACCTTTTGAGCCGGTAATTCCTCTCTAGCCAATCTGAAGAGGTATAGGAACAATTTCCTAGAGAGCTTTTCATAAATCTTGCTTTTGTCTCTAGGACGCACCCCTGCGATATTTTTACCTGCCTTGAACTCGGGGACCTTCCTTGTCTTGTCAGATATCAGTCGATTCCCGGGGCCGAAAACCTGCCTAGTCAGACTGATTAGGACAGATTTGAGCTCATCATGTTCTATACCGATTCTCTCTGATTAACTATATTACTCGCTGCCCTGAAACGGTCGGGTAGGGCAAGGGCCTCCCGTCCAGAGTGCCTAAGCGATGGTCTAATATAAGTCCCTAAAAAACAACATCGTCCCGGTCCGTGAAAGAGTTTATTCGGTTTCAACCATCAGTAGAGACTTCATGGGGGAGTAACTTAAGTCCTGGTGCGCAGAAGCATCACCGGTAGGCCAATCTGAATCGAATTTCCCATTTAGGGATGAGAAAAGAAAAAGGGACAGCTATCTACAGACAAGCCTCGGATATATTGCGACCGGAACTTGAGTCCGCAGAAGTAGAAGTAGAAAAATCTCTAGTTCATTTAGTACTCCATGCGTTGACTCTTGGCATACTACGAAGACTTACTCCAAAGAGGGCAAATGTACTATTCCTGGAATTTCACAACTTCCACGAGACGAAGGAATAGCATGCACTTGGCTTGGACCAGGCTCATAAATCCCTAGAGTACAGGAATCTGGTCTTGCGCCGTACTGGTCTTGAGTTGACGCATCTTTGGTTGATAACCCAGAGGGTGGTGTAATGCTCTCTGATGGCTTTGTGGTGCTAGATTCGAAAGTGTCATTGCCGTAGATCTCTGTCGAAGAACGTTTAGGAGTGGGAACTTGTGACTTCATTTCAATGGTATGGGAATTGGTGGGAGAGGCAGGTACTCTGCGAGCAGAATGGGATGAACTCATTGTATTCGGCACTGAGTACTTGGGTCCCGGCAGGCCTTTCACTCGTTGTGGCTCGAGATTGGAAATTCCGCCTGTATCGGCAGTGCTGTTAAACACTGTGCATGCTTCTTCATTGCTTACATCGCTCAAAGTTTGCCGATGCAAGGCGAGTGGACATGCCAATGACTGAAAGAAGCCGGAGAAAGAATCAAAGATCCCCATATTTAGATGGATGAAATGGTAGGTCTGTTTATGAGGTGATTGGTGATTGGTTTGATCTATAAGTACTGTGATTCAAGACGCACCCATCCTGATGAAGGGTCAGGCGCAATGTCTACTCCACACTGTGATCTCCCCTGCCGTGCTGGACCCGTCGCCCCACATTTAGTAATCTTGAGCATGTATAATTAGTTACTGCCTACATGATTGTGAACGTCTAGTTTGCTGAATGTGGGTCTCACACAGGCGCATACGTAGATGTTCGAGCTGCAGGAGGGAGTCTGTAATTTACGGTATAGATTTATACAGTAGATTCCTTGTATAAGAAAAGTTATGTATATTTGCCAAGGAATAAATAACCAGTAATATAACAGTATTTTCCGACAGTATTTTAAAGGGTAACTCTCAGCTGTATATTACCATACACAGATACGGTACCTGTTATAATATATGGTACTGTTACTACTGTATTACTAGTCGCTTGTATTTCTCGGCGTATACTTATCTATGACTGTCAGGAGTCAGGACCAAGGCCTCCGAGCTATCGCTGGACAACTATGATAGGAGTCTTATGCGCGTCGTCATTCCATAGACCCCTGCAATTATCGGCGAGATAGATGCATGCATGCCACCCTGATTAGTCTTGCCTGTATCCTAGCACCAATCCTTGGGTGAGTGGGGTCTTGCGTAGTCGACGGGCATGGTCCTTGCCTTGGACGATGCGACCTAATCCTGCCAGCCTAGCCTATAGGATTCGGGGAAACGGAGTGGATTACCAACGGCTTGTTTTCTACTGTAAGCGTGCGCAGTTAGATTGTAATGAGCACTTTTTTAGGCCAGAGTCAATGTTGAAGCTCTTGTGCAGCAAGCATCCAGGGCAGCCAATTTGTTAGGGACTTGTGCATGTACTGTCCTCTGTTGCTGTTGCTCCTGGGAGGCCGATCATGGACCCCTGCGCAAGATGCTTACATGAGCCCTATTTCCTAGAAATAAAAATGAAATTGAGGGGCCTCAGTGCTCTATCCCGGGGGCCCTCCACTTTCACCAATGAGAATTGACCGGGCCGGAGGCCCAGGTTCCTAGGACCTGTGATGGCGATCGCCTTCCTGTTGCAGATAAGGTTTACTTTCCCCTAGTTCATGAGCGCAGAAGTGGTCCATACGGCGATCTAGACGTCGGAGAGATCAGACATACGGTCACGATCCACCGTGGTGAGCGGAGCTCCTTGCCCGCGTGGAACAACGGGTCGCTAGTCACCTAAGTGCTTTGTGTGATGGCACTGATAAGGCCACCCCCGGAGGATGTGGAGCATATGGCCAGGGGGCGTTGAGGGCAGAGTTCACCCCAATACCCCTTTCTAGTGTCGAGACTACGTCCAGCCGATTAGTCGCTGCTTCTCTGATAGTTTTCCGGTTGAAGCAACATTCATTCACTCATCTCACCTCTGCCGAAAGACAGCAGTACCTCGACAGGTCTTCGCATGCCTCGACCGAGCAGCTGAGTGACTTGCAAGCCCGCGGAACTCCCAACACAATGGCACACGTTCGTAATTCCTTCTGTCGTGTCATCCCACGAGTACGTGCAGTCATTAGGTCGATGGTTTCCCTCTCATGGCTCGCCCTGACCAAGCATCCTCAGCAGCTGGATGGGCTCGCCAGAAAGACCGTCGACGACGGGTTAGGGCATCCCCAGCCCTCTTACAATGCCCTGGATGAATTGATGCGCGATGAACAGAAATCCTCAGTACCAGAGTCCTATGTCGATGGAGACTCTGGTACCGGCCAGAGATACTACACTGGCGAGAAACCCCATATCATCGGCGAATACTCTATCGGCGAGAAAATCCCATACCAAGAAAGAACCCTATACCGACGAAGAACTCTATACCGACGAAAAGAAGTGCTACCATATGGTGAGGACTGGGAAGCCAGAGGCTCATGGTCTTTTACAGAACGCCACTGAGTTTGAGCTAGCGGGGAGGACCAGACGGGAGAAACAGTGTGGCATGCGGTCGTCCTCTACTACGGTGACGACAACGAGGCCTTGGAACTGCTGAGTTGCGTTCCCAAAGACTTATTTGTGAAGTGTGACACGGTAAATGGGGATGGTGAAACTCCTTTGATGCTCGCATCTCGCCTGGAGAAAACGAATATGGCAATTTGGCTCAGCGAACATAGCGACCTGAACCTAGTGAATCCTAAAACCGGGCAGACAGCTCTGGAAATCATCGCCAAATGCCAGATATTGCAGAGTGTGGAGGTGTTTAGAACTATGATGAACTGCATGTTACTTGATCACCAAGGGCAGGGACGTGCACGCCGAATTCCATTTGCAATTTGGAAAGGCTGGCAGCAGCATGAAAAATGCCTCAGATCAAAGATGCGTCGGCAGGACAAGGATTATGCAGGTGATGGCCAAGGAGACTGGGACTATAGTGAATACTTGGCGGGACTTTCAGAAGCAGCTCGGATAAGAGATCAGACGTTCGAGATCTATGAGCAAGCTATGGGAGAAAAGGTATATACAAACCTTGGACACCTTTTAGGCTGTCCCAGGCCAGAGTCCGCTGCATCGCACAACATCTTTCCCACATCATCTTTAGGTACACCTGTCTGATAATGCATTCTACCTCAAAAATTCTCCTGTAGATAGTCTTGCGAGGCCCTCTGCTTCAAACGATAATTCCTCCATACTGGATAGAATAACGTGTCGGACCTGCACCAGGCCCACCAGAAAAAGGAAAGGAACGAAAGAATTCAACGACAGTCACCTCGGCCATGGGAAGACAGATAGGTGGACGGGATGAAGGGGTTCGAAATAAGAAGAAATCTTTGTACTTCCTGGGAGCGTCCTCTGTGTTTGCAGGTCTGTTCCTCCGGTCGTGAGGGAGAGGGTTACTGATCCCACTCGCTTGCTGATATTGTCGCGGCGGTAGTGGCTTCGGAAGTCTTAAGTGACACCGGGTAACGAGCTATGTCCACCAAGACATATGTGTCCATACCTGGTATGGTGAGTAAGCGGTATAGTAGGAATACTTTGGTATCACGTACTCGCTTTTCCTGCAAGATACTTTTCCTCCTGTTCTCGGACCATGTAGATCTCATCTAGCACCACTAGCCTCTCGACAGGGGGGGTAAACATGTCCTAAACTGGCAGTGGTTTGTCGAAGCTTTTGCGCTATGATGCCATGGCTGTCTTTCAGCTCGCACAGTATATGTACCAACAACGCTACACGGTCTGGCTTCGTGAGTACAACAGAAAAAAATGCGTCACCGAACACGCCGTACCAGGTTTTAACATGTGATCCGGTTCCTTGTGCGGGATACCTGCCGGCCACCATTCAGGTTTGGTGAGTTCAGGATTCGGACTCTGTGTGGTATTCGCTTGCGCCCATTGTAAGGAAATTTTGTTCGCTTGTTTGGCTCTATGAGTTCAATATATTGCAACCTCAGGTAGCAGTCTTATTCTTCCTTCAATTGCTTTGGTGGATATGGAAGAAACTCAAATAGATGATATTTGGATGGTCTTGGCCTAGTGAAGTTTTCATATGTCCTTCAGAGGGTGGGGGAGACTGTTTCTTCTGTCCAGGTATGGGCATGCAGCCTAGTGGGAGCCTGGGCTAATGTTCCTAAGGTCTCGGTGGTTTCGGGAGTTCCATCGACCGGAATTGGGGTGCCCCTGGCGCATAGTCAATGTCAATCTACCGCTGCCAGGGCTACTACGCAAGAATTGGGCCAATGGCCCATGCGACAGCAATTGTGGAAGCCTCCCGAGCTAGCATACGTCCGCGGTTATTGTTGTATCCCAAGCAGCCATTAGTCGTACAACCTCGAGAGAAGTCTTTCCACTGAATATACGCGGACAGAAGCTAGGGGTGGGGTCAACGTAATTGCTTTGGAATAGACTACACGGACAGATAGATGAATTTAGACACAATGCTTGAAGGATACCATGCGACAGAGCCTACCCTCCCTGAGGTGACCCTTTTGGCCCCCAGTCGTCTCGTTCAGAGAGCCAACAGTTTCTAGTCAAGTATGATTAACTGGCGTTCCCAGCACACGGTAAAGTAACTCCAATTTTTGTAATGCAAGACCTTCCACTTCCCCAAGCCGCTTTTTGTCGTCGTCGAAAGCCTGCTTAGAATATAGGTTGCCCGTGCGGTTAACAAACATGGAGAGCTGGAGGCGCCTGGATTTAGTCTCCAGACCATCCAGAATCGCCTTGTCAATTCGTACTCTTAGCTTCTCCCACTCCTCCAAGCTCTCCGCTATGCTTTCCTTCTTGATGTTGTTCACGATCTTCGCCATGATCTCCGTCATTATCTTCAACATCTCCCTACTCTCTGGGCTCTGGCTTCTGGCAGCAATCTCAGGCGCTGTCAGCTGCCTGGCAGGATTCACCAACCTGAGGTCGCTGTTCTGGCTAAGCCATTCTACCGTCTTGACTTTTCCCAGGGAGATTGCTAACATCAAAGGGCTTTCTCCTTTCGATGTGATTTGATTGCAGGACGCAGAGAAATGATTTTTAAGCCATTCCAGCATTGGTACAGACTCGTCCTTGCACTTGACGACTGCATGCCACACCGTTTCTCCATCTGGCCCTCTCGCTCTATCGATCTGAGCTCCCTTCCTCAAAAGATCATTAGCCCTCTCCGGATTCATGCCCTGTCTGAAGTTGAAATAGACTTCCTCGTCGGCATGGGAGCCTTCGTCGGTATGGGAACCTTCGTCGGCGTGGGAATCTTCGCGGGTATAGGGGTTATAGGAGTCTCCGTCGGTATGGGAGCCTTCGTTGGTATAGTAGCCTTCGTCGGTATGGAAGCCTTCGTCGGTATGGGAACCTTCGTCGGTGTGGGAATCTTCGCGGGTATAGGGGTTATAGGAGTCTTCGTGGGTATGGGAGCCTTCGTCGGTATGGAAGCCTTCGTCGGTGTGGGAATCTTCGCGGGTATAGGGGTTATAGGAGTCTCCGTCGGTATGGGAGCCTTCGTCGGTATAGATGTCTGTCATTAGAGGCATCTGTTTGTCCCCCATAGATTCGTCTGGGTGATTGTAGTAGAGCCGGGAGTGCCCAAAGTTTTTGTCGACGATCTTTCTGGTGAGTCGGTCCAGCTGCAGGAGATGCTTAGCTGGGGCGAGACACGAGAGGGAAACCATCGACCTGAGGCCTGCACTTACCCGCGTGAAGGCACGACAGAAGCGAGTACGAACGTCTGTCAGTCCGTTTGAAGATTCGGAGGCTTGGTGGTCACTCGATTCTAGGTTTCAAGTATACCTGTAGAGGGCTGTCGACGTATTGCTGCCTTCCTTTATAGGCAGGGGTGCAGGTGAATGAGTGGAATGGATTTGCTTCAACCTGGAAATTGCCAGAGAAGCAGCCACTATATGTAAGATCAGCTGGATTTAGTGTCGACGCTAGCAAGGGGTATTAGGGTAGACACTAACCTTGAGGCCATGCCCATATGCTCCACGCTCCTCTCGATACGGCCATACCGTTCCAGCTCTTCAAGCTCTACCATACCAAGCAATTTTGTGACCAGCACTCGGTCCCACGCGGGCAAGAGCTCCGCTCGCCACTGTGGCTCGACCGTACGTCTGATCTCCCCGACATCTAGATCGCCACCGTCAATGCGGTGTCCACGGTCATGGACCAGGGAAATAAAGCCTTACCAGAAAGGCGATCGCCATCGCAGCTCCTAGGAACATGGGCCGGGGACCCGGTCAATTCTCATTGGTGAAAGTGGAGAGGGCCTCGGGCTGGAGCACTCAGGCCCCTCAATTTTCCTTTTTAATTATAGGAAATTGGGCCCAGGTAGGCGCTGATCGGTCTCCCAGGAGCAGGGCCAGAAGCAGGTATCAGCCAAAGACCTTTAGCATTGACTTGGGCCCGAAAAATTAGTCTTACAATCTGACCGCACAAACTCAGCAATTCGGCCGTTGGTCAAGGTTGAACGACCCAATCGGTAATCCACTCTGTTTCCATAACTCCTACAGGCTGTACTTTCAAGTTTAAGTCACATCGTCCAAGAAAGGTATCATGTCCGTCGAGTACGCGAGGAACCCACTCACCCTAGGGTCGGTGCTAGGGCGCAGGCGAGACAGGATCGGGGCTGCATGCATGCCTCTTTCTACCCTAAAATTCAAGGGGTATCGGGGATAATGACGTGCATGAGACCGTTTGGCGTGCGTTGATCTGCTACGAGAGTGACTTTGTCAACAGGATGGCAGCTTTGGTGTATCTGGGACATACTTCATTGTGCGTGCTCTAGACATTCCATCCGGCCCCGGTACCAGGAATTTGGGCTTTCCATGGTTTTCAGTGGTTCTTGAATTAGGCCAGGTGTTTGGATTGGTTGGGTCCAACATGATCATTATTTTCTCTGGGTCATCCACGCTCGCCTCGCGCCATGTAACGAGTCGATACCTCATGGGGAGTCCCATATTCGTGCCCACTCTTGCGACCCCTTGGGGTTAATACAAGGCCACTGTACGATGCTTAAAGCCTCTTCCAAAGCAGTGTTACTTTCTTATCACCTGCGCATTTTGGACTCGTCTGCAGCTAGAAAGTGATCTTCTTGCCGAACTTGATATCCCGTCAAGTGGTATTTCTCGCTCAGAAAGTCGGATGGGCCTTCCGAATGGACAGCGCAGTTTGGGCTTTCCGGATGATAACGTTCATGATCCCATTCTGACTATGATGTACTACTCTTCACAAATCCACCTTCGGAAGGTCTTGAACACACTGACCTGTATAAAGTAGAGAGTACGAACCCCATCGCCATGGATACAACACGTTTTGGCATCTTACTAACGATCAAATAGAAGCGGGCGCAGAATCGCGTTGGTCATCCAATGCCCAGGAAGCATTAAGTATGAACCTCGAGCTCTGGCGCAACAGCCTTCCAGACATCATGAACTGGAAGGACGGACAAGAGATTTCCGACGATATCAATGCTGCTCGCATGCGAGCAAAATACTTTGGTGCTCGGTATATTATCCATCGCCCGCTCTTATATCGCGCTCTCCATTTTGGCCGCGCTAGCACTCGCGTATACCCAATTGGCCAGGCCGCTTTTGACTCGCCCACGAGTTCAGCAACTACTTCTCAGACACAGATGTCTCCATCCGTCCCTACCGGCGGCCACCGAGCCTCCGGCATGGCAAGGACACTGAGTGATTTGGGCAGTGCCCCAATGGCTACTACCTCTTTCCCCAATGGCTTGACGCGTCCTGAGGTCAAGCTCGATGATCTACCATCCAGAATTCGGCGAGGCTGTGTCATCTGTGTCGAATCTGCCATAAAGAGTACAGAGGCCTTCGGCGGCATCAAGGATCGACTTGTAGTCACCAATATCTTCGGCACAGCTCATGCGTAAGTGCCACCATATTCCCAGGTCAGTAATTGTTTCATTAACCGCATACTCTGCAGCCAATTCGGAAACATGCTCGTCCTGGCCGCAGTATACCACTCCGGACTCGGAGAACTCGTCGAAGGCCCGAAGCTCAAGCGCCTCCTTCGCCGAACAATCAAGTTCTTGATCCGCAATGCACACATCTCGCCAACCCTCCGTGCCGATGCGAAGATTCTCACCGAAATCTATAAAACGACCTTCCCCGACGAGCCACTAGATCTCTCAGAACACCCCAACAGGCAGCACCGATGCCTTTAGTCCACTTACACGAAACATTAGGCCTACAGCTTATGTTCGACGAACATACTATAGTGATTGAGCTCCAAATATGACTGCGCTTTATCTCGTGCACTCTTCTCTATATGACCTTTCAGCTACTGGCGAGAATCAGCGTCGCCCAGCTGAGCTTTCACATGTGTATTATTGATTTTCATCATGCCTCAGATATGCGTGGACCTTATGGATGGATGACCTCTCAGGTGCAGTATGGCTTTCATCATCTTAATTGATAAACCATTGATCATAACACTATATAGTCTGTCATTTATTCCTCAGTTTCGCTGTCTGCTATTTGGATTTATCAGTTGGCTTATTCGATATTTACCATTGGTCCCCGATAAGAGCTTCGGGCTTGTAAATACTGTACGATAGGCGGTTGAATAACTTCAATTCACTTTTTTACTTTTCAGATTCGTAGAACAGGAACATATGCATAGATGATAATACGTTGTGAAGCGAATAGAGAAAATGAAAGAAAGACAACAGAAGAATAATCAGGCCTAGTCCTTTCGATCCTGAATACAGGCTGGGATTAAGCAGATGTCTTGAAAGAAATTTTAGCACCTTAAGCGTCGTCCTCTCTTCCGCAACGATCTAGTGCGATTGGTAGAAGTGCTCTCTGATGGCATTGATTTGTTCCGAAAATGAGGGAGCTGGGAAGACTGGGAAGACTGGGAAGATTTGGGAAGATTGGGAAGATTGGGAAGATTGGTACTGGGAAGATTGGGAAGACTGGGAAGACCGGGAAGACTGGGAAGACTGGGAAGACTGGGAAGATTGGTATTGGGAAGATTGGGAAGATTGGTAAGATTGGTACTGGGAAGATTGGGAAGACTGGGAAGACCGGGAAGACTGGGAAGACTGGGAAGACCGGGAAGACTGGGAAGACCGGGAAGACTGGGAAGATTGGTATTGGGAAGATTGGGAAGATTGGGAAGATTGGTACTGGGAAGATTGGGAAGACTGGGAAGACTGGGAAGACCGGGAAGACTGGGAAGATTGGTATTGGGAAGATTGGGAAGATTGGTAAGATTGGTACTGGGAAGAAGGGGAAGACTGGGAAGACGGGGAAGAAGGGGAAGACTGGGAAGATTGGAAAATTTCGAGCTTTCATCGACTTCACCTCTCAAGGGTGTCGTACATAATCTCCCGAACCAAGAATATCAGGAATGCTTCCAGCATTATGCGCTCGCTCATTTGAACGCATTTGCGTGAATTTTTCTCAGCCACCATTGCCTCGCCACACCTTGGCAGGGTAGCCACAGGCTATACATTACATAAACAAGGTGGTGGGGTCCACGGGTTGGGCAATCTTCTCAACTGCCTGACGTTAAATGACGATAACTTCGGATCCTTCTCTTCATCTGGATCAGTGCGGTACGTTCGCGATTTTAATAAGGACTACCCTAGGGTCTGGTAACAATAACTTTTGTTCCTATTCTACATTTTGTTATACTGACCCGTCGTGTAGACACTGGCGCCTGAAACGGTTTTGGGCCTTGTTGCATCGAGCGGCTAAGACGATGGACCAACTATCAGGGGAGCAAGTGTCGCAGGAAAACTTGGTACGCTCGATAATTCCGAAATTACGACAGACCATTCTAAGCCTTTCTCTAGCGCAAGGGTTGGAAAAGCCTGGACGAATCTGACGAGGATGCTTTCTTCGAGAAATATCTTATCCACCAATTTCACAACATCAACGCCGAAAATTTTCCGAGGATGCTCTATTACCTGAATTGCCAAGACATAATATTTTCAGGCGATGAGGGAGAAATATGGAAAACACAAGGTAGCGGTGTGATCCACCTTCCTCCGGGAGTTTCGGTCTTTGCAAGGCTTGGGAAAGTGAGGGTCGTTGAACAACATTCGAGATGAAGTATATTCAATAAATTGTGATTTCCGTGTCTCGGTAGGGCTCATGCCCCGAAGCAGGCACGCATATCGATAAAAATATTACCGGGATGACGCCTTTTGAGACTGGAATCTGTTGAGAAGTAAGGCCGGCTTCAAGGTTTTACTTTGACTCCTGTATATAGAGTTCAAACTGCCCTCCTAAGGAAGGCAGCGATCAGTTCAATCACGAGGTACTTTCACTTCTCTATTCTCTGTGTTTTCTGCTATTAATCTAAGGTAGCCAGCCCGTCAAGTTTGTACAGCCTATTTGCCAAGTGGAATCCCGCGTGGAAACCTATGCGCAAGTAAATGGTACCGTAGTGAGGTTCACCTCTCCACAAGTGCATTGTTACACAATCCGTTGTGTCAATGAGAAGGTTTTTCTTTTCCCATTGTCTTAACTGGCTGTCCTCGATGCTGTCAAGTAGTTCGGTGTTGAAAATGGACGAAATAGTGGATACGGTTGCACCCTTCAAAGTGAAATACGCACAATCTAGAAAGAAAGAATCAGAGAAGAACAGAATTAGTCAAGAATGAGCGATGAGTATTACCGACGCACCAATTTGTGAAGACTTGAGACTTTGAGCGCCATGGGCTTGATCAATTGACATGGAGTCAGAGGAAGGGCTCAACATGATCGATGCGATACTTTGACTTGCAGAAGGAAAAAGAACTTGAGCCAAGTCAACCACAGAGCCAACACTAATGCTGACTATGATATCTTGTTGTTTATGGCATGGGACTTTTGTCTGAACGCCAGAGGTCAAAGGCCCGTTCTTTCCCGAGATTATCTGGGCTGGGGAGCATTGAACAGCGCTGCAAATAATGTCTCCGAATATACGTTGTATCGAAATGAAATCCGAGGTCTCTAAGAGCCAATTCTCTCGGCTTTCGGCGCCAGTAGTCGGTGGTCTTATTTCCTCAAAAGATTGTATAAAGCGTTTGAATCTCGAGTCTTGTTCGAAATTATGGCACCGTGCGATGTGCGTGATGGTTGACCAAGCTTGACCAGAGAAGGTGTATCTCGATCGTTTCAAGTGATTCTGTAGAAACAGCACGACGTCAAAAGTTTCACATTGCCTTGGAGAAATGATCAAGATAAAGGGAATAAAAATGAACGGTTCTTCTTCGAGTACTCGGAGATAGACTTCGGACGCCTTTTTGCGCTGGTATAGGCTTCGATAGTCATGCCTTGGTCTCCGACCATTTTTCTGTCGTGGTCTGTGCTCTGACGTAGGCCCGAAGGCTATAGGTAAACGCTGGGCGAGTATTTTAGTCTCAGTAGCCGTTATACCTCTGCGTCCGCCAAATTGATCCCTGCATTTATAAATAGCTGACAGATGAGGCACCTGCGAAGCCATTGGGAAGACTGGGAAGATTGGAAAGACTGGGAAGATTGGAAAGACTGGGAAGATTGGAAAGACTGGGAAGATTGGGAAGATGGGGAAGATGGGGAAGACTGGGAAGACTGGGAAGCTCATCAAATAGAAGACGGTGGCTGGCGGCTACCGGGCCAACGTCTCCAGCCAATCGTTCGAGGCAGTTCACCGGATCCTCTCGCTTGGTCGGGAGGAGTCGGGTTGAAAATTGGCTTTACTGTCAAGCTTGGAAACTAATTTCCCCTAAGTGTGCTCCGATTCCAACTTCGCTGTAAAGAGACTTTGGCATGCAAACGGAGGGCTTTTGGATTCATAATGACTTTTATTATCACAGGTGTAGGCCTCCTACAGAAGCATTAGTCAGCTGGGCGGAAATGCCTCATGATCCTTTTATAACTTTGCGCTTTAACCGTATTAGGCTACGGATCCGGTCAATCTATCTATTTTGAGTTTAGCCCTGTGAAGGGATGATTACCACATCCCTATTTCTGTCACGGAACAATGGGATTCGACGGCACAGAGCCGTCGAATCGGCGTCGAAAGCACCTTTGAGGGTATATCGAGGCCCTTTGAGCCAAAGTCATGCCATTCAATGTCGATAGGTGGGGTCACTGGACCCTTCCGCATTCCTATTGGTCGGATTAGGGCTGAAACCCGAGCTGGGGCCAAACCCCCCCGCGAATCCCCATATAGAAGGGGCTGTTTTTTTAGAAGAAAGAGTAAGCTTTAGTCTTTGTTCAGACTGGAACCCTGCAGTGGGATCCCATCGAATATCATTGTCTCGCCTGGTCAACTGGTGCCACCCAAATCTGGCAGTTCCCTTACAATTCTAATGCTTCTCCCCGACCACCCGAGAATCGGTATCGATGGAGCGCCCACGCACACGCCAAACCGCTCGCGATAATGCACCTCCTAGTACTAGGGGGGACGAATCGACGACCGAACCTACCCCGTCGACCGCGCCCGCTCCGGAGGAGCCTACGGCCCAGGAGATCGAGGAGCTTCGCCGTCGAGTAGAAGCGAAACAGAGCTATATCGACCTCCAACAGCAACTCGAGGGACTCAACGCCACAGCAGCTGCGTTGGCACAGAATGTACCCCCCATCGCTACGAATGCCCCTGTCGATCACCCCGACCTCCGAAATCGCCTCCTATCAAAGGAGATTATCTCCGGATCTTCTATCTTGACTCTTCCATCCAAGCTCGGGAAGAATGGCTTCAGGACATACGCTTTTATTTCCGACTGAACCAGGAGTACTTCGATACCGAACAGAAACGTATCGCCTACGCAGTCACAAAGATGCATAGCCTATCTCGTCAACGTTGGTTCAACCATCTGGAGATGTAAGACGATAAAGGGGATGAACTCATGGCTAACTTCTCCGCCTTCGCTGATTGGACCTTGACCTTTTTTTACGAACGCAGCGACCGCGATTCCAGACAACTTCCGGAAGATGGCAAGGTGTCGACAGAAGGAGGATGAGAGCCCGAACGCTTTCCATTCGAGGCTGAGTGCCCTGGAAAAACTCCTCCCTGAGAAGCTCCCCGACCAAATAAGTGCTCTCCTGTTTCATACCCATCTGGTCCCCGCTCTACAGAGACGGATCGAGGAGCAGATGGAAGTCGCGAAAACCCGCGACGAAGCGGTGGCGATTGCCCAGCGAGTGTGGTCGGCATCCCAGCCTTTAGGGCAAGCGAAACGCCAGAACAATTTGAACGACCCTCCATACCCTTCTAAACGGGGCCGGAATGACACGAGCCCCCTGCAGGGAAGACCTCCCTCTCGTTCCTACCAGCAGGAAAAGGCGAATCAACCTGGATCCTCTAGTAATTCGTTGCCGATTCACCACCGATCGACACAGGCTATCTGCTATAAGTGCAACCAGCCGGGTCACATCGCCACATATTGTCCTACCCAATCGAGAGAAGAGCTCTCCGCTCGAGTACGGGAACTAATCGACGAAACGGATACGAAAAACGAGGAAGGGCTGTAGATTCGGCGACGTCTCCAGCCCCCTGGCCTTACGTACGGATAAAGTCGCGATTCCATACCCCTGCCGTTGTGGCGGGTTCGATCCAGACCAATATCGATCTGGACACGGGCGCCGAGTGCGACCTCGTCAGTATCGAATTCGTCCGTAAACATAACTTCCACCCGGCCAAGGCCTCTGCTCCCCGCCTTGGCGCTGTGGGCGAATTGAGATGCCCTACCTACGGATGCTATACGGTCCCTATTGTATTGACCGATTCCAGGGGGACTATCCGCCGGTTCGAACGGGTTTGTATAGCGGTAGAGCGGCGTCTCACGCCAGGAAGCAGCCCCGTACTCCTATCCATGACCTTTTTCGCCGACGTCGGCGTACATATCTATATCCACGACTCTACCTCTTTTTGGTTCGAGGTCAATTCGAGGACAGTCCAACTTGTGTCGGCGCGCCAGTTCGAAAAAGAAGTGCGGAACTGCGCATATGTCTACGTCGTAGTCCGACTTCCAGAGGAAGTTTAAAAACCCGAACACGCACAAATCCAGAATGTAACGTCTGGTTCAACCTCGGATCCGCCGATCCTACCCCCCCGAATTGGACCTATTTCGGGACGTGTTCGAGCCTGGAAAGTCACAGAGCCTCCCCCCGCATAGGCCAACAGACCACATATCGAGTATTACCGGGAGAACAGCCTCCATTCGGGCCTATTTACCCACTCTCACAGAAAGAATTAGGCGTCCTCCGCGAATATATCGATGAAAATATCAAATTGGGGCGAATCCGCATATCCCAGAGCCCTGCCAGAGCTCCAACCCTCTTCGTACCCAGGAAGGATGGGAGCCTACGGCTTTGCGTGGATTACAGGGGACTCAACCGCGTTTCGGTTCGGAATCGCTTTCCCTTACCACTGATCACGGAAATATTGGACCGCCTACAAGGAGCTCAATGGTTCTCGAAAATAGATATCCAGGACACTTACCACCGGATCCGTATCGCATCCGGGGATGAGTGGAAAACCGCATTCCGAACACGATATGGCCATTTCGAATACACGGTTATGCCATTCGGCCTAACGAATGCGCCAGCAACGTTCCAAAGCTATATCCTTACCGCTTTGAGAGGGCTTGTGGACTACATCTGTACCGTTTACCTCGACGATATCCTGATTTTCTCAAAGACTCGCTCGGAACACACCCGCCACGTCCATCAAGTTCTCCAACGAATGCGGGAATTCGAACTCTACGCGAAGCCTTCCAAATGCGTTTTCTATCAATTCGAGGTCGAATTCCTAGGTTTTATCGTGGGGCGGGACGGCGTACGGATGGACCCCGAGCGAATCGAAGCCATCACGAACTGGGAAATCCCTACCTCCTATCACGAAGTCCAGGTTTTCTTAGGGTTTTGCAACTTCTACAGAAGGTTTATCCGGAACTACTCCCTAATCGCGGTGCCATTGACGGCGATGCTCAAGGGAAGCAAGAACGGAAAGAAACCGGGCTCGGTTACCCTCAATGAAGAGCAACTAGCTGCATTTTATCGGCTCCTAGACGCGTTCAAAAAGGCTCCGCTCCTCCGCCATTTCGACCTCCAACAACCAGCCCGATTAGAAACCGATGGACGCATCCTATCCCGACCGAATCAGGAGGGGATCTACCACCCTGTCGCCTTCTGGTCGGAGAAGTTCTCCGAAGCGGAGCCCAACTACTCTACACCCGACCAGGAATTCTACGCGATTGTCTACTCGTTTAAGCATTGGCGTCACTCCTTAGAAGGGAGTAATCATCCTATTGAAGTTCTTACTGGTCATTCGAATATCCAGGCCTTCGTGAAACAACCGCACCCGAACGGACGCCAATCCAGATGGGTAATGGCGCTGTCTCCTTTCGACTTTGTTGTGAAGCACCGAACGGGCAAAACTAACCCTGCCGACGGGCTATCGAGACAGCTAAACGAGAATAAAGCCCCTAGAGACGTGTTTGCTAGCCTTCAAGGGCGGTTAGAGTCCACATTACCACTAAATCACGACAACACAGCCACTGAACTTATACCGCGGACAGTCGCAGAATATGGGGTTTCCCATGCTGCCAATTCTATACCGCGTACAGTCGCAGCATACGAGGTTTCTCGGCCTGCCATACCTTCTACCGCAGTGATCCAGGCGGTAAAGTCGAAATCCACAGGCGAATCCCTAGTGGATCTAGACCGAATGGAACCAGATCCAGATGAACTAGATACACTAAGATGGGAAGAGGAGTACCACCAGTGTCCAGAATCGGCCAATTGGGCCGCATTGAATGAAATGGGTCGCGCCCATATGATTCCGTTAAACTCGGTCCAGCTGATCACTGCCGAGGAAGTCCCATATCAAGAGAGGATTGGTGGCGATCTTTTGAGAGAAATTGCAAATTTACAGAGAGAAGACGGCCTAGTGTGCCGAAAGATAGAACACCTCAGGAGGGGAGAAACCTCCAATGTGTGGAGATTGAATGACGAACTGCTAACATATCGGGGGCGATTTTATATCCCCCCAGCCACAAACCTGAGGCAGGAACTCCTGAAAATCCACCATGACGACCCCCTTGCGGGCCACTTTGGCAAAAATCGCACATATGAGCTCCTCAAACACAAATACCACTGGCCTAATATGCTTCGAGATGTTACCGAATATGTAGGGAGCTGCCCTACCTGTCAGGGAACCGCTATCCCACGACACCAGCCGTATGGGGAACTCAATTCGCTTCCTATCCCCAGCAAGCCTTTTCAGGAAATTTCAATGGACTTCGTTACTGGATTGCCTCCAGTTATCTATCGGAAGGAGTGGGTCGATACGATACTAGTTATCGTCGACCGGTTCACCAAACATTGCCCCTTTTTCCCAGTCGCTTCAAGGATAACTACCCCCAACCTAGCGGAATTGTTCCACCGCGAAGTCGAACTCGTTTACGGGTCAATCGAGGGCATAGTCTCCGACCGGGGATCCCTATTTACCAGCGAATTCTGTTCGAAAGTGTGCTTTTATTCCAAAATACGCCTACGCCTATCGACAGCGTTTCACCCCCAAACAGATGGCCAAACGGAACGAGCAAACCAAACCCTCGAAAGATATCTCCGATGTTTCACGATAGAGGAACCAGTTACCTGGGCTAACCTACTACGAACCGCCCAATTCGCATGCAATAACGCCTTCAACGCCTCGACGAAACTTTCCCCTTTTCAAGCCCTATTCGGGTACGAAACGAACTTCCAGCTCCGAACAGGAGACATCAGCCAGCTACGCCAGTGCCCCTCAGCCCTAGGCCGAGTCGAGCGTATGAACGCCACAAGGGAACAGGTCATGAAATATTGGGAAGCAGCTAAAGAGAGCCAAGCCAAGTATTATAACAGAAACCATGCCAAATTGGACCTGAATCGGGGTCAACTGGTCATGCTATCTACTCGGAATCTACGGCTGAAGCTGCCAAGGAAGCTCTATCCTACCTATATTGGACCGTTTCGTATCCTCGAGAAAATTGGCACCCTGGCTTATCGACTCGCACTACCTTCCCAATATAATAGGCTACATAATGTGTTCCCGATACAACTACTGGAGCCATGGAAAGGGCGTAGAAACGAGCCCGATCCGTTACCAATGCCGGAACTGGAAGATGACGATGAATGCGAACTCGAGGAAATAAAACAAGAAGAAAAACTCGACGGCGAAACATGCTTTCTGGTCAAATGGAAAGGGTGGCCCTCCGAATACAATCAATGGATTCCGGAATCGGATATGAACGCACGAGAAATGATCACCAAATTTCGCAAACAGCAAAAGAAACGCAAACCCTGAAAATCGCTGTCGGGCCGCCAGCCATGGAGGGAGGATAGACCCCATCCCGCACTGATTCCACCGCAACTGCCTACATAGAGATTCCCGAAGCGCCTCCACGTATCCCGGATCGAGTCAGCTTGGTCCTGCGGGGCCCCATCTGCAATACCTCCCAGCGCCACACCCATAAAAAAGGACCGGATTCCGGCTTGAATCACGGGGAAGAGAGCATCTCCGGGCTCCAACCGCACGAGGGTATCCGCGAGTGTAGGAGGGGAACCCCAGTGGCAGCTGCCGCGACCCGTAACAGCTGGGGGGGACTGGATGCGAAGGGCGCGTTTCTGGTCAATTCGCTGGGAGTACGGGACCCGCTTCGCCCGACCCTCGGTCTTGTGGGACGATAATTTAAATCCGTTCTCGAGAGCGTGCGCCGCGATTGCCTCCGCCATCAGGCGGCCAAGGATCCGGGTCTCGTTATCGACCGCTTCGACGGCATTTGGGCCCCAGGTCATCCGCCCTGTATCCCCGAAGCCGATAGAGGAAGGGGAGTTTGCAGTAGGGCGGGCGTTATGGCCCCAAGCGAGGATGTCAATGAACGTCTGCCAATCACCCTGCATTCCCTCAGGAATCGGCAGGCACTGCGACCTCGGGCAGCCTTGACTATTACAGTACAACCTCTGCCCTCCAGTACTGTCTGTGAACTTGGCCTTCTCTTCTTTTATCAATTCCACTATATTTCTGTGATACGGTATCGCTGAAAGACGTGATGCCTAACATTTACATATATACATAGGCTTGGCTATCCAACCTTTCTATCACGAGCAGCCTCATTCCAGCCCATAAGGGCCCTGCCCAGTCACAGTGTGCTCCCAATAATTATGATTCACGTCGATTCCCAACGCCAGTTCCATATCCTAGAACAGATTTACACGAACCACTGGTCCGGAACGGACACAGAGAAAAGCCACAAACCACCATCGATGATCTCTATAGCTACCCAACGTCCTTGCTAGCAAATTATATGTTCCTTGGCTTCTCGATCCTAGGTGTTCCGTACGATCGCGCATATCCACGAAACCAGGCTTCTAGCACGCATTCTCATAAGACTCATCGGGCGCAGCGAGCATGCTACCAGTGCCGACTTACGAAAGCCAAGTGCGACGAAGGGCGTCCAACTTGCTCACATTGTGAAGGGAACAATCTCAGGTGAATTTACAAAGAAAAATTGCCGAGCAAACAGGACAAGACGACCGAAATCATCTCCAAAGATTGACAGAATAAACGACAAGTGGAGACGCGTCGTGTACATACACTGGAGGATTCAGATCACCAGAGATTCCGGCAGGGTTTCTTCCAAACTGAGTGATGGTCATACCGTGTCCGATCAGTAAAGTTTCAAGGCAGTAATTAGAGATTCTCGGAGCGATAGCATGACATCCGCAGTTATCCTCTTGAACTTTTCCGGCGCCACCGATGTGGCCCATTCTTCAACCTCGCGCTTCTGCAGTATATACTCAAGCAGTGTCTGTGGTAGATTGCGGCATGAGTGAAACTTTTTGAATAGTCCATAGAGCTGGTTTAAAGATTCTACTTCGAACGTTCGGTCGAATTTTCCCTCTGGGAGGCCATATCGCCCGTCATAATACCACGCAATGTGAGCTAGTAGCGCAAGGTTCTCACGGGGCTGTTGCCGTGCAATTATGGCGACTTGACTGGCAAGAAGTTCGCTTTGGACGATGGAGTCTGGGCCCCCTTTATGACATCCTTCTTGAGCACTCTGACAAGCATCCAGGTGCTTGATATTTTCCACATCCAACGACTCTAAACACCAGGAACCGTAGGCCCTCAAGAACCCCTCGGCCGCTGCACAAAGGATTTCATTCGAAAGTCGCTTTGAACCTTCCTGCCTCAAGATTAGCTAAAGGCTTGCTTAGAATCGAGATACCGTACGTTTGGACTTGAACGAGCAGCCATCTGGGCTTCTGAGTGCAATTTGGTATTAGGAAGGGTGACGATGCAAAGACCAGAAGCCAGAAGGGGTGGAAGAATGTCGAATATCAGCGAGCAAGATGTTTCCACCACGACAACGAAAGCAAGATCATCTGACAAGGCCGATGCGTGCATTATGTACAACAAAGCGCCATGGAGTGAAGTAAGGAAAGACTGGGGCTAGATAGCGGTTAATCTGTCTCATGCATTGGCACGGAGATGTGGGTCCCGAACGATTGCGCGTAAGAAAAGGCTCAGTCATACACCGAATTACATAGAGATTCGTGCACAGGTATGAGACCTGATCGATCAGACCATAATATTACTAGGTCGGCTTTCAGAAGAGTCAGCGCGTTGATTTGACCAACATGACCCAGTCTCCCGGCTATATTGACAGACTCACCTCTGTATACGAGATTACTGTGAAATGAGCGTGTATGGCCGGCTGACCGTAATAGGGTAGCCGATTCATAGTATGGGCTGTGATGGAGCATGCAGGAAGGAAGGGCCTGTATTGTACAGTATAGATTGGAAAAAATATGTAACTCTGAAGGTTCTAAAATAACAGGTACCGAGTATTTATACGGTGAGTTCCTTATACAAGAAAAGTTATGATCATTGGCCAAATAAATGAACGGTAATACGATGGTAACGGCACCGCGTGTTCCTACAGGCTGACCCGTCTGATCTGAAGGCCAATAAGAATTTGCAGGAAGACTCCGGCCAATAGCGGATGTATAACTATGCAGATGAGCTTAGTAGTGTAAGATACGTAATCACTAAAAGGCCTCTTTGAAGACCCACTAAACGTAGCGTCACTCGCAGCTAGCAATCTGGGCAGAGGCTGGCTATCTTAATACGGGAATGCGAAGGACTAGTGGTGTAGACTGCGGGGCGCAATTCTGTAATGTTGGGTATGTATCCTACGCCAGGCAGCTTCATCTATTGCTTAGAATGGGGTCCGATTGTAGTACCAGCGGACCAAGTATGCACTAGGTTCTCTCAGTTAAGGAAGCTTAAGGAAGCCTAGGATTCTTATCTACGTAGACAACCAAGGACCTGTCTTCCCAGTCTTCCCAATACCAATCTTCCCAATCTTCCCAATCTTCCCAATCTTCCCAATCTTCCCAATCTTCCCAATCTTCCCAATCTTCCCAATCTTCCCAATCTTCCCAATCTTCCCAATCTTCCCAATCTTCCCAATCTTCCCAGTACCAATCTTCCCAATCTTCCCAGTCTTCCCAGTTTCAATCTTCCCAGTCTTCCCAGTACCAATCTTCCCAATCTTCCCAAGCTTCCCAAGCTTCTCTACGGCATTCATGTTCACTATGAAAGACGAATTCGACTGGCAATTCAATCTACCTCAAAGGTCCCCGAGAGGATATCGGCAATGCTTGTAGATGAGTGGCTTTGCGTGTTAAGGCAGTGGAAGCAGGCTTACATTCGGCACCCTTCCAACGATTGAGCAGCCGTGTGCCACGAGTTTAGAATGAAACGACAAGGGCTAACGTACCACCTGAGGCCCTGACGTGAGGGAAAACTCGCGTAGGGAATAAGCACATATTAGGAATAGCACAATGTATCTGTCAATAGTTCCGGCATGCGGATTGCCCAAAAGCTAGGATCCGCATGAACGAAATCATCACGTCCATACGTCCATCGACTGTAGGAAGAAGGATACTATCTTCCCAAGGACGACATTTAAGCAGCATAAAACTCAGATACTGGTCATCGCCATCTCTAGGATCATGAAGCTCTCCATTGAGATAGGCCTATATGGTATAAAATACGAGGCGCGAAGCTAGTAAGGCAAGAATTAAGACAACAAGCGAGTTGGCCATGCAAGCACGGTGGCTTGGCACAACGACAGCCTGTCACTAATCCGACGCACTAATGATCCGGCATACCACCGGGCTGGCCGAGCCTATACGAAGGAGAATAAGAAGCTGCATGGCTCCCTTGGCCTAAGGTTTCTTCATGTGCCATGGCTTTCTGACAGCCTTGGTCTATTTGCACGACCATTAATTATCATGAGTACTAGCTCCTCGGAAGACGAAGATCGCTTCAAAGTCCTGCGAGGCCTATTCGCGCATCGCAACCGAACCTCTGTCTGCCCTGCCTGCCTTAAATGCTTATCTCGGCCCGACAAAGTGAAGGAACATTGCGATGGCGAAGTAAAGAAAGGAGACGCGAATCACGCAGGGCTTCTCTTCCGAAGCCCATCATTCGAGACAAGCTACCGAGAAGCAATTGGGTACAGTGATGAAGCGCCATTGGTCCCACCGGAATCATGGACCGCGTGTACGGCTATCGATACAATCATTGAATACAAATCATCCATCCATGCAGTGTCCCCTGCTAGCAAGCTTGAGATACTGTTCCAGATAGCCGAAAATTCAGCTATGAGCTACATCTGTCCTCTACACCTCACGACACACGACTCGTTTCAAACGCTACGCCAGCATTGGAACCCCGACTCAGGCGGCACCAGCCACGGAAAACTTGCAGCCGAGCCGAGTTACGACTTCAAAATTGCCTATGAAGAAGCGATGGGCATCACAATCCCCGAAGCATATTTGCCGCTTGATCCCAGCATCCCTGGGAGAAAATCAACTAGCCCCTATTTTGAAATAGAATACGTGATCAGACGGATGAATCTCGACAAACTGCGGGAGAGGTATGATGCGATGGCGCGTCCCCTGAGATAATACCAAAGCTCTCCAGGCTTGCTACCTAAACTGTTACCACCCAATTTAGACAGCCTGTCTAGAATAATTTGGGCAAGTATCAGAACGACTACAGTTGCATGTGTATTTAGCCAGCTGTATGATCTATTGATCAATAAAGCTCAGTGACTACTAGAACATTGGATGTTGTGCCTCTTCCTATCCATTGCCTAATTTCACTACGCTCCTGTGCACATACAAATTACGACTGTTCTTTACTAGCTACACACTCGCTACTCTTTCAACCTATCGCCATCGACCTTGGCCCTGCTGTGTATACCTGCGTGTTTCGGAGAGCCATACTACGAACTTCCGTCCCTTCAAGTTTTTGCAGTACAAAGCTTTTGGATATTGATTCGCGGATATCCCCATCACTTATGACCCTTCGACATAAAGCCCATGGCTAGAGAAGAGAGGTTTAACGAACATCAATTCGTTAATGCAATTCTCAACGAAGTGACTGCAGGCAGTAACAGATTATTACCCATCTTAAAGAGCTCCATGGAGGCCTGAACATCAAAGCAAGGGCTGCTGCTTCCTGCTCCTGCAGAAGCATGATAAGTACAGAGTCAGACACTGCTGGTGAAATTTGCTTCCATTAAGTCTAACCACGACTTTTCCACATTCCAATCATAACATCGAATCCAGTTAGGGGTAAAACGGCACTGATTGAACCCCGGAGAAAGGGAGATAACAGTCCCATTGTCACGGGCCAGGGCCCGGTGTTGATCACGTAGGACACGTGACCTTGGCGTACTAATAGCGGAGGACCGGCGCATTGAACTCCTTTCCTTAAGTTTATCGTACACAGTTCGTGGCCTAGTATAGATTGAATCAAGTCTTACTTTAGCCCTTCACACCCATAGGGAGGGGGGTGGCGGATCGGCAAAATTGGGCACAACATGGGATCGAATATCCCAAATTAGATTCTTAGGTACAAGTATTTATTTTTAGTCTTACGTAGCTCCGATTCGTCTTTTGAGAATTTGGTTCCTAATTGCTTGTGAGTTTTTCCTATTTTATTCCTGTTTTAGATTTCTTTCCTTCTTTCTTTCTTTTTTTCTTCCCCTCAGCTCTGATCTTATCGTTCTAGCCCCAACTTCCATTTTTGGTTTTTCCTCTTTTTAATTATTTTTAATTATATAATTGTGTTTTTCCTCTTTCCATTTCCTTCTAGTCTCTTTCATTTCCCAATTTTGGTACTATCTGGTCGGCTTCCTAGGTCTGGGTTCACCTTCGTATATCGCCTGTGATATATATACAGCTTTCTCGACCCTTGCCATGAATGTTTACTTTCCTTTCGCAATAATTTGCCCACCGCGAGAACAGTGCTGACACGGGCTATCGCTGCAATTGACACCATTCACGATTGATTCCACACAACTATAGAGCTGGGAGAGAAGAAACAAGCGCCACGAAAGAAGAATCAGAAGAAGACAAGAACACAAGACGCTAGACAAAGCGGGAAACGCAGGGCCACAAGAGATATCCATTCCGCCAAATCGCTTCGAAATTTTGGGAATTGTTCATTCAAGCTAGCATCCTAGGCAAGTCCACCAATATCTCCCAAGCATTAAGCGGATCTCGATCTACGCAGGTCCGGGTTTGACGGCCTCATAGATAGGAACTAATATACGAGGCAGCGTGAACGATTTAATAGCATGAGACCTTCGAGTCCGCCATGCATCAAATTGGGGGGCCCACCAGGGATGTCGCAGGCACCCGATCATGCCCCAATGGCCTACGATTATGGATACACAGGCGCTCCTTTCCAAGGCGGCTCATTGCGGTCCAATGATGTGCAGAACCATCCGGACTTCGCACGGTGGACGCTATCACAGCTAGAGCATCAACCTACGCACCCGCTATATCTACTCCAGCGACGCTCACAACAGCGCCAGGAGCTGTTCGACACATATGGCTCGGGCATGCTGTACAGCTTCAATCACCCATCTCCTACACAAAGGCCCTTCGGCTTTTCTCCGCAATACTCTAACCGGCCGTCCACAGCAAATGATGGGCTGTCCAACCCATTTTCCGTTCGACAGTATTTCACCCCAGAGGAGTCCACCGCGATGGGGGGTCCCCGCGCTGCTCAACTATCCCAATCCACAAATATCATATCATAATCTGCATATAGCACGGCGAAGAACTTCTCAGCCTTTCGCTGCCACCATGTCCGAATACCCAGTGGGTACCTTGGCGAGCAGACTGGAGCCAGCCAAACCTGAACCACCTCAATACGGCCCAGATTATGCACCCCTTAAAGAGGCTTACACTCAGTATCAGCAAGCACTACGCAGCACCTTTGACCATACGCGCGAAGGGCGATTGGTGGAGGCAAGCCGACCACTACTAGAACTTTCCGAATGGCTTGTAACAAATGCTCGGAATCTTGGTACGTTCGTCTCGTTTCTTATTTTACCTGCTTTTTTTTAAAAAAAATCCTTGCTACTTATGTCTTATCTTCGTTTTTCAATCCATTGGCCCTTTGTCTATCATCAAGAATGAGGCGAACGCCATGTTAAACCCCGCTGGGTTGTGGGGACATTGCTCTACTGACTTGCGAAGCTTGATAAAGCGTTTCTTTCTTTCATGAACATGACCCAGAAAAATCAAAGGTCGTCGTACTACTCAAACTTCCTGTTAGTCCTTTTGAACCTTTTGGACCCTTTGGACCCTTTGGACCATTTTTTTGATGTTATCTCGCTTGCAGGCATATGTCATGCAAGCATCATCTGACAATTTGCTGAAGAGACTGATTTGCCTCGCTGTGATACATAGGAATCCTGTACGACGACCATCTTACCTACCCTACCCGCCTGGAACTCTGGAAAGACTTCAATATCTGTTGGCTCGCGGTTTGTCAGAAACAGAAGGAGTTGATTCAGGACTACATTGCCACAGGCCGTCCGCCGACACAAGCAAGTCTCTTAGCCAAAGACCGTATGGAGGCTATGGGCAGATACTTGATCCAGCTTTGTGACCAGTTTGAGCAGCATGGCCTGGTAGATTATCAGATGGGGATCTGGGAAAAGGAGATTCTGTCAAGTATGTGCTATTCCAGAGCTGCGAGCCGGCAACTTCTCCGTTGAATCTTCTGCTTGCATGTGGACTCTAATCAACTGCAAAAAACCTAAACTAATCCCAATCATAGTCCTAGGCCAATGCCTCGATCTCGTGGAAAATAGACCCGAGCTGTAAATGCAAGCGATATCTGCATCCGCCATCGCGCCACTGTGCCCCTGGACTATAGATGGGGGACGACTTGTCAATCCGCCTCACCTCCAAACTTCCGCCACTCACATTATCCAAAATTCGACTTGTGTCTCCAGTCGCAACGAATGAGGCGTGAATGCCTACGAGATTCGGACCCCTGAATCCATTGCTAAGCCATCTCCAACCCCACCTTCTGCAACAACGCATGCTTTCGAAGGGCGATCGGGCCGCGACGCCGTGGATAAGCCATTGCGCACTAGCGCGCCGCAAATCGCCCCAATCCCCGAAATACGTGTCGTAACATACAATATCGTTATCAGTGTAATACGGGTCGCTCATATCTCGGCGAATACGTATAACCTTTCCTATATAAGACATATGTACGTCGTATAACTAACCACATTGCAAGCGGACCAATTGCAAATTCCCGTCGTTCTAGAAAAATCAGGTATTACATGTATTTCACATCCGTATCGTATTTTACCTATTATGCCCATTTTCTCCAATAATATGCAGATGCAGATGCGCGGAGGCCAGTAAACTTTCTCTGCGCCAGGAATGTCAATGGCTGGCCCACATCTAGTTACTCTCCAGGGCTCAGGGCTGAACTTGCCGCGCTTTGTCAGCAAACGGGGTTTCCAACACCCCCCCCGCTGACCTCGCTGATTTTACTTTTAATTCTAGGAAATAGGGCTCACGTAATCATGTTTCGCAGGTCTTACTGGTCATCTGTATAGGAACAGAAGCAACGACGAATAATACATGCACAAGCCATGGGGGCTATTAGTATCATTAAGCTCAGGATTCAGGAATGTCGACGTTATCACTTCTAGGCCTATGGTTTGAAGGTAATTCCTGTGAGAAACGTCCAGATGAAACCTTGCGATCTTGCTGAAGATACAGTATAAGTACCAAATGCAACCTCAGGTAGCAGTCCTATTCTCCCTTCAATTGCTTTGGTGGATATAGAAGAAACTCAAATAGGTGATATAGTGCTTGGATGGTCTTGGCCTAGTGAAGCTTTCATCTGTCCTTCTGAGGGTGAGGGAGTCTGTTTCTTCTGTCCAGGTATGGGCATGCTTCCTGGTGGGAGCCTGGGTTAATGTTCCTAAGGCTTCTGTGGTTTCGGTAGTTCCGGCGACCGGAACTGAGGTGTTGAATGTCAGCCCCTGGCGCACAGTCAATTTCAATCCGCCGCAGCCAGGTTACTACGCAAGAATTGGACCAATGTTCCGTACGACAGCAATTGTGGAAGCGTTTGCGAATAAGCCTACTTCCGCGCTTATTGCGGCATCCCAAACAGGCATTGGCCGCACAACCTGGAAAGAAGTCTTTCCACTGAATACACGTGGACAGGAGCTGGGGGTGCGGTCAACGCATAATTGCTTTGGAAGAGACTACACGGCCAAATAGATGAATTTAGATATAATGCTTGATACCATGCGGCGGAGCCTACCCTTCCCTGAGGTGACGTTTTGGCCCCCAGTCGTGTCGTTCAGAGAGCTAACAGGTTCTGGTTAAGTATGATTAACTTGATTTCCCAGAATACGTTCAAGTAGCTCCCATTTTTGCAACGCAAGACCTTGCACTTCCTGAAGCCGCTTGTTGAGATCGACGCAAGGCCGCCCGGCATATAGCTTGCTCTCGCGATGAACACGCATGGAGACTCTGAGGTGCTGGGTTCCATCTTCCAGACTATGATAAATCGCCTTGTCAATTTGGTCTTTTAGCTCTTTCCAGTTTTCCAGTTCTTCCATGCTCTCCGTCCTGATGTCGTTCATAACCCCCGCCATGATCTCCAACATCTCCCTACTCTCTAGACTCTCGCTTCTGGCGGCAATCTCAGGTGCTGTCAGCTGCCTGACAGGATTCACCAGCCTGAGATCGCTATACCAGCTAAGCCATTTTAGCGTCTCAAACTTCCCCAGGTGAATTGCTAACATCAAAGGACTGTCTCTATCCGACTTGACTTTATCGCAGGACACGGACGAATGTTTGTCAAGCCATTCTAGCATTGGTAGAGGCTCCTCCTGGTACTTGACGACTGCATGCCACACCGTTTCTCCGTCTGGCCCTCTCGCGCTATCAATCTGAGCCTCGTTGCTCAAAAGATCACTAGCGCTCTCCGGAGTTATGCCCTTCCTGAAGTTGGAATAGACTTCTCCGAGGGCATAGGAGTCATCGTGGGTATAGGAGTCATCGAGGGTATAGGAGTCTTCGTCGGTATAGTAACCTTCATCTGTATAGGAGGAGTCTTCGTCGGCATAGGGGTCTTCGTGGGCATAGGGGTCGTCGTGGGTATAGGGGTCGTCGTGGGTATAGGGGTCGTCGTCGATATGGATGTATTCGTCGGTATGGGACTCTTCGTGGATATGTGAGACTCCGTCGGTAGACGAGTCTGGCACTGAGGGTATCTGGTCGTTCCCCATAGATTGGGAGTGCCGTAACCTCTTGTCGATGGCCTTTCTGGTAAGCCGGTCCAGCTGCAGGGAATTAGCTGGGGCGAGCCGCGAGAGGGAAACTATCGACCTGAAGCCTGCATGTGCTTGTGCGAGGGCACGACAGAAGCAAGTGCGAACGTGAGTCATTGTGTTGGGAAGTTCACGGGCGTGTGAGTTGCTTGACTGCTGGGTTCAAGTATGCGGTGACCTGTCGAGGCGCTGTTGCCTTTATGGGCAGAGATGGAAATAGGTGAGTGAAATGGATTCTGCTTCAACCTGGAACCCGTCAGATAAGCAGCGACTATATGTATGATCAGCTGGACTTAGTGTCGACATTGGCAAGGGGTATTAGGGCGGATTCTATCCTTGACTCCATGCCCATAAAGTATGCGTATGTCCTCCCCTCGATGGGGCCATACCATTCCAGCGCTCAGGCTCTACCACATCAAGCACTTCTGTGACGAGCGACCGGTTCCACGCGGGCAAGGAGCTCCGCTCGCCACTGTGGATCGTGACCGTGTGTCTGATCTCCCCGACGGCTAGATCGTCGTAATCACGGTGTCTGCGCTCATGGGCCAGGGAAAGGATTATCTAGAACAGGAAGGCGATCGCCATCACAGGTCCTAGGAACCTGGGCCTCCGGCCCGGTCAATTCTTATTGGTGAAAGTGGAGGGCCCCCGGGATAGAGCACTGAGGCCCCTCAATTTCATTTTTATTTCTAGGAAATAGGGCTCATGTAAGCATCTTGCGCAGGGGTCCATGATCGGCCTCCTAGGAGCAACAGCCGCAGAGGACAGTACATGCACATGTCCCTCACAGATTGGCTGCTCTGGTCGCTTGCTACCCAAAAGATTTAGCATTTGCTCTGGCCCAAGAACATGGTAATTACACACTGGCTGCACGCACTCAGCAACCAAACCTTTAGTTTTAATGGCTCCGTGGGCAATCCACTCCATATGCCGGAGTCCTATAGGCTGGGCTCTCCCTATTAGATTACACTATCCTAGAAAGGTACTATGTCCGTCGGCTGCGCGAGAACCCACCCCCCCTAGGGTCGGTGCTAGGATGCAGGCGAGACAGGATCGGGGTTGCATGCATGTGTCTATCTCGCCTATAATGCCAGGGGTCTATGGAATGATGACGTGCATGAGGCCGTTTTGTTGCGCGTTGCGTGTGTCTATGACACGAATGACTGGGTCAACAGGACGGCAACGTCGGTGTGCCCAAGACGCTCTCCATTGTGCGTGCCGTAAACGCTCCATCTGGACCCGATCCAAGCTTCTGGACCGTTCAGTGGATTTCAGTGGCACTTGGCTTAGGTGAGGTGCTTTGATTGGTTGGGCTCCGCCTGATATTAATTTCCTTCTGGATCGTTCATGCTTGTCTCGTGCTATATAACGAATCGATATCTCACTTCTCATAGAGCGTCCCGTGTTCATACTGTTCTGGTGGTTCTTGGGGTCAACGCTAGGGTATCTGGTATCGCATAAAGCCTCTTCCAGATCAGTGTGCCTTTCAGATCAATCCATCCCCCGGTGACCCCGTAACCCTTTCTCTTCCGTGGTAGGCGTGACCCCTAGAATGTTGAGATGGGAACAATCATGAGCTAACATGTAAGGCCTATCGTGATATTAGCGTATCTCCAGAATCACCGTCGATGGATTACCCTTTGTCCCGGGATGCGTATAGCCCGGTGAAGCCGCCATCCCCATCATCCTTCCCACGGCATCGTGAGGCGGTTTCTCATTTCAACCCACCAGCGCCACCACGGGGTCAATTTGAGAATGGCAGTCACCGGAGCTATAGCCAGTCGACTCTGTCCTTGTCCTTACCGCAGATAACTCCATCTATAGCATCGCGGGCAACAAATCTTCCCGCACAGCAGCCCGCCGCCTCCCCCTACTGCCAGCTCTCCATCAGCTCCCCCTACGAGCACAACCGGCTCCAGTCACGTCGCGGTATATACCCTCGACTCGAATACTCCCTCATCCGATCTTACAACAAGGGCCATTGGCATCATCAAACTCGACCGAAGCTCGTCTGTCAAAGGATACCTTGTTCGGTTTCAATCATTTCGCTCCACCCGTGCCCTACGGAAAGAGTGGCGATGATTCGTTTGGCTGCGTTTTCTCTGCTGGTCCCAATATATCGGTAGCTCCGTTGACGACGGGCGCAGTTAAATTATCTTCTCCCGCAGTGGGAGGGTCCGCTAGCATGGCAGGGCCTCGTGTGGCATCGTCAGGCCCAGGGCCAGCGGGCATCAGCAAGGCGCCTGATATGATCGAAGTCACTTATGATGAGTCGGGATCTACAAGCCAAGCTAAAAAGCGGAAAGCAAACAGAGAGGCATCAAAGAAATACCGTCAACGCAAGTCTGAAACACAGCACCTCAAAGACCTTGTGCGGGACCTCCGAAAAGAAATAAAAACCCTTCGTGAGGAAAAGAGCCGTTGCAATTCTGAGCGAGACCTCCTTGTTGGCCGATCAAACGGCTTAATACCTGCTCACACACTGTCCTCACAGCCGCATTCTCCGCCTGCTAAATTGTCTTCGACCTGACATGGTCTTTCCCATAAACCTAACCATGTTCCTCAGCGTTTGCCATACAAGTTGGGCCTGTAGTTAGGAATTGCGAACAGCGAATTTCTACTATAGAATCATCCATAAACCCACCAGCATCAGGAGGGGCTCTGTAATGTATGGTATAAGAAAGGTTATGAGTATTTGCCAAGAAATGAATAAATGGTAATATAATGGTATGTAACAGGACTGCGGATTCTGGCAGTATGCTCTGAGATTAAACTTTCAGCTGTATATTACCACGTGTGGATCCGATACCTATCGTAATATGCGGTACCGTTACCACCGTATAAATATGCGGTGCCTGTCATTTTAGAACTTTCAGAGTTACATATTTTTCCAATCCATACCGTACAATACAGACCCCTTTCTTCCTGCATGCTCCAACACTAGTCGCTTGCATTTATTGACGACTGTCAGGACCAAGGCCTCCGAGCTATCGCTGGACTCCTTGGGTGAGTGGGGTCTCGCATAGTCTTCTTACCCGATTGGAGACAGAAGAAAACATACAAGGCTATGTCCAACTAGCGTCGATAAGGTGATTGAATGCCCATCTCATGTGGCCAACCCGAGTCAAATTTATCTTATCCCTATTTTCTTCTCGCTTCCTATTTTAAAGGGGGTTTTTCCTTCGCGCCGAGAAGATATTAGACCGCTCCCAGTCCACATCGGCCCGAAAGGTCATTCAATGACCTTCACAGGCAAAGCATTTAGCCACCAGATAAAAAGCATTATTCGTCCAACCCTGGGAGCATTTTCAAAGATGGGAGATGAAATCAGGAATGCATCCTACCCGCATTTTGCCCTTGTATACATCGACGACCAAGGTCATCTGCGCCAGGAAGCTTCGCCGTCGTTCCCAGGCAATGGCGAAAGTTTTATTTCACCGCAAGTGAGAGAGGCGTTTCTTGGTGCAATGACCAACTCGAGCGAAACTATACCCTCTCGTCAACATGGTATGAACAGCAAAACCCTTCTGGAATGTCGAAGAAATTCGAGGGGGGTGTGCAGGTGGCTTACTGAGAGGCCCTTTAGGAAATTTCCAAGCTCCAACGAGAGGCTCGACCGTTAGTACAAGAAACCGGCATACTTTCGAAAACGATAGGATCATACCAAGGTCCGATCTAGCGAATTTGAGCAGCCCCGCCCCATGGCAAGCACAGCAGGCCCGAAGAAATGGATGGTCGCAACCGCCAGCACAAAGCCAAACCACCAAAAGCTATAACGCAAAAAACACAGAAATAGCCAAAATATCTGTTCGGGATAAAGATTTATTGAGGAAATATTACACAAGAGCGTTCAAAAAGCTGAACTATAGGAACTGCTGCTTCATTGCCAAGGCCTATATCAAACTAGTCGAGCCGTGCAAGCAAAAGAAATTTCCGTACAGCGGACGAATATGGTTCAATGGCCGGAGGCAACAACTACATTCATCGAAAACAAGTCCCCCTTGGTGGCCATCTGGTTTAAGCCACAATCCGCCTGATAAGCTCGAAAGAAAGGGTATGATCCGGGATCCTGGGCTTCATGTCTTCTTTTCAATAGCTGACAATAAATGAAAGACGTTATAATCCTCCTGATTTGTCTGCTCTGCGACCTGCATAAGACGCATCAAATCACAGTCCAGAAATTGAAGGAAGCAGACCAGACCATTCACCGCCTGATCGGCCCCCGCAAACAGGTCATATTGGATGAAATTTACAGGGTGCGGCAGGAAGAAGAGAACTATATCGACAAAAAAACAGGTAAGCCATTCTCGAGCGCGTATGGAGTGGATTTCTTGCATAAAAGCCATACTGATTTCATCTCAGACGGGGAAGCATTGGTGACTATTTCACGGAAACACCTACCCAGCCCCTCTAAGTCTTCAGAATCGTCTGAGAAAATCGGACAAGCTTTCGCAGAACAACACAATGAAGGGGAAGCAACACCTTCGCAAGTTGCGCCAGCACAAGGGATACATACACAAAAGAGCTCGGTGTCGCTCGACTGTCAATCCACCTCGAACATGCCATCATTTCCGATCATTCCAGCCTCTACAGTCTTCTCCGATGCTGCTTTCCGAGGAGCTGAACAATCCATAACCCACGCTTATTTCCAACCAGGATATCTCTATCAACAAAGTATTGAAGCCACTATTCTGTCTGGCATGGCACCATTTGGTGGGACTGTGGATCCAAATACCCTCGACTATTCCTTCAAGGACCAGTGCCAATGATAGAGATTGACTCCTGATATATGAGGGACTTTCTCACCCAAATAATTAAGCTTCCACCTTCTGTACCGTAGAGATGTAGTTTTATGAGGAAAGGGAGAAGATGTGTTGGTGATCATCACACCGAAAAAGCTCAAGGAGCGACCGGCGCCGGGGCCAACTCAGGCAGGGACCACCCTACGGCGGCCAGCGGCCAGAAGATAAGCTCCTGCCGTTCGGAGTCAAATTTGAGCAGGTCGACAATCTCCTTCAAGATGCGCGTGCCCCAGTCACCCATCCACCATGATTCGCGCAAGTGATGCAACACTACGGCATAGTGGGCAAGGACGACCAAGGCAAAGGGCCGGCGGTCTCGGACCAGTTGCGAGAAATGCATGGGGATGCAGAAGGCCCAACAGAAGGCGAAGTCCTTGGGTTTGCCTCCATTCATGAGCCGTTCCAGAGAATTGCTCAGATGGTCGATCGTTTGGGTGTAGACTTCCTTCTCGTGGGTCGGGTCTCGCTGCGCCTCGATTTCGTTCTGCCGCCGGATAGAGAGGATCACCACGCGAGACATATCCGGCATGGTCGGTCGAGGCTCCGGCGATTGGACCAGCGGACGCATGTCTTCCGACAAAACGCGGTCTTTCGTCAAAAGCAGGGCGCCTACGAGCCGTCGCGTGAGGTCGAAGACCTCGACAAACTCGTCTAGCACGTCCGGCCTCTCGTCCTCCTCCTCCTCCTCCTCCTCCCAGTCCATGATAATGCAGTATGCGAACGAGAAGGCCAGCAATACACAGCATAATGCGAACTGGGCGTTACACCGGGAGTTTGAGAGCGTGTCGACGCCGTCGAATCGGACACCGGCTAGAGCCTGACTTTGGTGTTCACGCGCAGCCCTGATAAAGCGCCCCTTACTCTCTGGAGTGCTCCTTTGGGAAGCTATTTCAAGCGCAGAGAGCGCCAATAGTCCATGACGCAGGGCCGGCACCTGTAGGGATAGCTGGGGGATTACTGATTGCCAGGTGATCTCGGCGCTGCAGTCCCGGGCCATCGATCGATATGTGCTGGTGCACCAATTTATCGTCTAGCCCCGGGATGAACAGTCGGGCTTGGCAATCCACTGGGGGGCTCCTTTCATACGTCAGAGCCTCAACATGGGGCCGGGTCTCGAATGAACGAAAGTTCTTCGAAAGCCCCGTTCCGCCATCAAAGATCGGACGAGGCTTCGACAGCAACGACTCTGGTTGATAGGGATGCAATACAAATGACCATGCTGATGGAGGTTTCGACTTCTGCCCAAATCTTGACATATCCTCAGGCATCAGACACCTATTCAGGCCATGAACGTACAACTCTCGCATCAGACCAAGCTATCCATGAGCTTCCCGAGGCCTCGGAGCCTCCGCCTACCCTGTTTAAGCAGCCGGTGACCAGCCCTATTAGCGAGGAGCAGTTGATCAATGAAGTTCGCGGCATCTATGCAGGATTGGTGATGGTCGAAAAAAAATGCATTGAGCTGGATAAACAGCAGATTGAGTCTAGGGCTGAGCTATCAGAGTCTCAGTGGCAGGACTTGATCTCTCTCCACCGAAAGTTGCTCTATGAGCACCACGATTTCTTTCTGGCGTCGCAGCATCCTTCCGCAAGCCCCGTCCTCAAAAGGCTTGCTGAGAAATACGCAATGCCTGCACGCATGTGGAGATACGGGATTCACTCTTTCCTTGAGTTACTCCGACAAAATCTACCCGCGTCCCTGGAATATATGCTCAACTTTATCCATGTGGCTTACTCTATGATGACACTGCTGTATGAAAGTGCTCGTGCACTCCAAGAGGCATGGATCGAATGTCTCGGTGATCTGGCCCGATATAGGATGGCGGTTGAGGAATCTGATATGAGAGATAGGGAGATATGGGCAGGTGTTTCCCGATATTGGTATAAGCAAGGTGCTGATCGAAGCCCGGATATCGGCAGAATTCAACACCATCTAGCAGTTTTGGCTCGTCCAGACGGTTTACTACAGCTGTTCTACTATACAAAATCTCTGATTTGTGTACGGCCTTTCCAGAATGCTCGAGAGAGTATCGTTCTGCTCTTCAATCCATATAAAGAACAACCATTGGGCCAGAAGACCATTACCACATCTTTTATTACGACACACGGTATACTGTTCACACAAGATCCGGACAAAAAGTTTGTGGACTCAGCGAATAATTTTCTCGCGTTGCTACGGAAAAATTATCATGGGCTTGGTAGGCAAGGCCAGCAAGGAGTCTATATAACGTGTTGTAACATCGCTTCGATTCTGCAGTACGGGAAGCCAGACGCAATCATGGAGGTGGAATTTTCGCAAAAGCCGGGTGACACTGCTGAAGCTGCGCACAAATTTGCAAAGGAGTGGATGTCAACTTCAAAATCCGGGATGATGGATCTAGATGCGGGCGCGATGGAGGTGATGCCGCCACATATCCCTTCACAGATAGCAGCACAAGGGAGCGCTCTTACATTCCAGACCCTTTCGATCTTTCTCGATCAGGTCCAAGACCCTAACAGTTACCCGGGTATTCATGTTGGCCTCGCCTTTATTTGGTGTTTAGCGCTCCATCCGACCGCGATGCAACAGCTTGAAAAGATGATACCATGGGCAAAGATAGCGCACTTTCTCAATATACTTCTAATAAAGGAGGAGGGAGGTATCAATTACTCTATCATTGAGTGCCAATCTTTCCCTTCAATGGAGGAAGAAGAAGAAGAGATGGTCAAATACTTGGCTGAAGATTTCTCGATTCGGGGTAATGTTTGGAGCCAACTGTATTATGAGCCAGATTTCTTTCAGGACGCACCCCAAGAAGACGAAAGACCGGCGATCGAGACTGAAAAAGCGACATTCACCCGGATACACAGGTGCCTATGGCTTGGTAATCGGATAGCAACGGTTTGGACCCTTCCCTAACTTGAGAGCCAGCGAAGCGCTGATTATTCTTTAGTTTGATCGATGGATATCTTTTCCGTGCATTCCAAAGCCTAAGTTCGATGTCACCCCTTTTCGCAAACACGTTCGGCAATTCGATAGACACGTGTGAGGGGTTGAACATCGAATAACCCACCGTAGCTCGGCGACATTACATTTGAGGGGACAGAGACCTTTTCTTTTTTTTATTCAAGTTTCGTTTTTCGTCGTTGCATCTGCACCCAAGATCCAGGACTTTCTCTTCCATGGCCTTTCTTTTATGTCAGCAACCATTTGATAGTCAACTCAAAGATCCACAGCACCAAACTCTAGCATATGAGGCTAGAATTCATGGTCCAAAGTCTTTTCAGCCATTTTAGACGTTTAATTGTATATAATTATCGATATGCGAGGAATTAGCCAGCTTCAAAGGCAAGAATAGGTCTTGAATTTTTTTAGTTGCAACCAGTTTCCGACCTATCCTATGAAAGTAACTCACCACAGCCGATAACCTCAGCAACTAAACTTGTCAAGTGGCTGAGCATGTCGTATCGTCGAGCCATCCGGTGAATTTGAGCGGAGTATTTATACAGGGAAGACTTGGTCTAACAGAACAGAAAACTTGGAGGCGCCCAGGGGGTTCATAGTTGAGAAATGAATCGACAGGATGGAACAAAAAGGAGGTTTGAGGGAGTTTTAGAAGCTTTGAGGTAGCAGATCACTCTTCATGCAAGCATGAAGTTTTCGGCTAGTCCGGCTGAGATTCACATAGTTGGGGTCGTTCAGGAAAGCCGGAATAATTGCCCACTTTATCCTTGCAGGCCACATGACGCGGCTCTAGCAGCATGCAGCATAGCCTTAGTAGACAGCTTTGCCATTGCCTCTTTTTTTTGAATATCCAGAATTCGACCATGTGCCGAGTATGAATAAAGGTAAATATGTAAGTCCCTTCTAGATGAATATACACATCGTCTTAATGCATTAGGGTCTTCTATATAGTATCAGGGCGGCTATCTCTAGAACCGATGGCCTTTTGTGAAGCGTGAGAGCGTTCTCATTAAGATCCAGAAGATACTCTTAATCTAGCTTTTGATTTTAGCTAATGACTAAGGGCCATATTCTGCCACTATATGCTATATCATAGGAAAGCATAGGGAAGGTCATTCTCAAGATAAACATTGGAATAAAATGATCTCTCAAACTTCAAAGGCTTAGAATCTATCAGGGATCCAAGCTCTTTGACTATGCCGCAACAGGTGTGCAAGTGCACGTGCAGGCTGGGATCGACAGGCAAGTTTGGGAGGGGGACCAGGCTAGTAAACTTGCTGGCTGAACTCGAAGCTGAGGATTGGTAGCTAACATCTGTCTGTGTACTGACAAAGCTCGAAAGGTGATCTTCCGTGAGAGTACTAGAAAGAGGTTTGCTGCTAGTTGTCGATGATGTGGGATTGCTATTTGGAGATGACGTGGGATTGCTATTTGTAGGCAACGAAGCTGGCGGCTGGGAGGGTGCTGCATTTTTAACTTCACATTTGCTGCCGATTTCGAGTCCATGATCTAATGAGCAGCTGGCCGATTCTTTCTCACGATTGATGAAAGATACAGTTCCATTTTTGTTTACTGTCACCCAAGCGACGTGCTCTCCATCCTCGGTTCCACATATATCGACTGTTATCGATTTGTTACCAGAATCACTGGATGCAAAGTCTGGAAATATTAGCATACATCCATATATCCATAGCAAGACACTAACTGGTGCAGGAGCCCCCCTCAAGTGCCGCAAAAACCGCTGAATAGCCTGAACAACCATGGTTATTCTCGGAAACCACTCGGCAGCTCTTCCCTTCCCTGTCACGTATGACAGACAAAGAGCTTCCCAAAGCCAGGTGTGCAATTAATATGAAGCAGTAAAAGTAATGCATAATGGAGACCGGGAGAGGAAGTGGACATCAATCCCGTGCACGCCAGACGCATCGACTATTTAAGCTTTCGGCTTGATAATCGAGACGTAACATCAATAGTCATGGATGAATAAGACCTTGATACTCCGTGATAATGAACTCCAATATGCCTGCCGATTAGTGCGGCCAAATCGCTCAAATTTGGAGTCTATCATAAGCTCTAGAGATGTACTTTTGAGTACTGTTAGCAACAGTTATTGAGGCTGCATAAGATAGACTCTGTTTATTCTTTGTATATTTCCAATTCTGAGACCATCGAGATTTAGAAGAATTTATAATGAGGATTGACAAAGAAGATATGTTCTTCTGTACATATTAATTGAGTGTCACCGCCCGCTCGATTCCGCCGCCACTCACCGTCTCGAGATAGAAGGGGATCCGAACTACTATAGCGGCGGAGTCGGAGAGACCGGTTTATGCCGGCAGAAAAGTCTTACGGCACAGGCCTGCTCGGAGGGGGCTAAGGACACGTGATTATTCTTGCATTCTAACCTCAGAACTATCGAGGAGTTAGCTTTAGGATTCAACACACTTTTCTTGCTTTCGAGCCTTCGTACGGTTTCCCTTAGCACGGCCCCTGTCTATACAGCTTGGGCGTATATATGCTACACTACCAGACTGGTGAAGATGGCACAGAGGTTCGTGAAGGAGTAGATAGATCGTCGGCGTAGCTCCTCCCTTAGATAACAAGTGCTAAGAGGCTGACCGGAAATTCTCGGATATATCTAGTAGTGGCTCAGCTGAGGTTTCCATCTCCTGATTTCAGGCTATGCTATTTGCTTGTAGTATAGTACAGTACTATAACCAACAGCTATCCATGAGGTTAGGGTAAAGTTTATATATAATAAGACCTCATATCAGTATAGTTACGATAGACGTGTTAAACAGGATTACTGACTGATCTTCTATGTCCATTTTCGACACTACTATCATACATTTTTATCATGATCGCTTTGTGCCAGTGCAGTAATCGCCTCTAGAACAGCAAGGGACAAATACTCGGCTATAGCATCCGAACCGCTTCTAATACAAGAAATATACTTTCTTATGGATTTTGGCTGCAATGTTATTGTGTCAAACGAATCCTAGTTTGCAACCACTGGAATTTGATTGAGGAGTTAAGTTATAAAATTCGATAGAATTGGCCTTTTATGTTTCACTTTGTGCTGTTTCTTGGTGTTATATCTGAGCCCTACTCTTCATGAGCCTCATATCGAAATCGGAAACACAGACATCCTTTCCCTCCCAGATGTTTTTTTCCTTCTATATTTTGGCCTCAGGCCTTGGTTTGACAAATAAAGCCTCTGCTATAATGGCATCAATCCATTCGCCGTTTTCTCCAGGAACTTGGATAGTTCCTTTAAGATAAAGCTTACGGCCATCCAACTTTTCTGGCCACGCCCGCAGAAGCATTGGGACCGCAGGTGAAACAGGCCTCTTAAATGATGTATGCAGACTTGCAGTGAACGCTGGCTCCTCGCAACAATCTGCAAGAATGCGATCCATAAGGAAAGTGAGGTACCCCCCGAAAACCTTCCCACTGTAATAGCACATTTGTTGCTGTGGCTTAAGCGTCAAGAGGGATTCTACCTCTCTCCCAAGATGATGTTGCTTGAACTTCGGGTGGTAGCCTTGAAAGAGCATGGTCATGGTTGGCTCGGAGCATTCTCTGCGCGTCGTGGCTATCTCATTCTCTTCATTGTTAGTTACATATTTCGATTACAGCTTATAGATTCAAGACTTACTGTGATTCTTTTTTGAGGCAAAAAGCAGCGTATACTCGTGATCCTTTGGAAAGCCAGGAATGGAAAGACTGGCAGCTTCATTGTGTGCTAATTATCAAGTCTCCAAAAAAGGGGTATTCCCTTCAAAATGAGGATCTGACTGACGCTTTATAATAGGGCCTAAACAGAGCCTTTTCATCGTCTCCACATCTTACTGCGCTTATGAAATATTCTGAAAAATGAATCAAGTTGAATAATCAAAGTAATCGTGCTTGTCTGATTAGTTCTGTTTGAGCCATTTCAAAGCGAGTTAATTCGAAAATTTATTTGAGCACTCTTGTTCGGGCACTTGTTTGAGCATTCTTATTTCTGCTTGAAAAAGGGCTATAGCAAATTATCAATTTCTAAAAAGATAAAGAATATCAGAAGATTAGAGAAGACCGCGCACTGGAACAGCTTCTGCCTATCTTGAACCCCTCTACAGAGGCCCGAATACCGAAGCTCCGGCAGCCAGATGACTCCGTATTTTATATCGATACAAGGGCCAGTATTTCTCGAGGCCCCTATCCTACTAGAAATGTAGTTTGCTGATGCTGGTGCTTTTGAGTAGCCTAGCAAGCCTAAGCACCATGTTCATCTACTAGCATCTCTGCGGGATCACAGGACTGCACAAGATCAGTACAGATAATGATGCCTTGGGTTTGAACCACTATCAGCAGGCACGTTCCGCTATAACAAACGATGGTATAGACTGAATAACTACTATCTGAGTAAAGCGCGGTAAATCACTTACAAATCTCCATCGATCTAGGAGCATATCCTTGAACAAGTGCGATAGGCTAGTAACACAGAATGCGGGATAAACGTCTTTCGGCAATCCGGGAAAGGATAGCTCCGCGAGAACACGGCATGACGGAAGAGCAAGAAAAAGAAACATAAATCATAAACGACAGAGTTGGAGAAGAAATCGACGTATTCGAAGATGCTGTTTAAAGCAGATTGATCGGTTTAACAGACGTTATTCTGCTATAGGTACGCTGGAACCTGTATCAAATCGGTGCCGCCTCTTAGAAGATCCTTGATATATATAGCCACGATAGTCTTCTTCAGGGAGCATGAGCTACTTAGCCCCAAGAACAAATGAATGTTTTCCTGTCTGCTCTATCGAACTTATTGATGTATCCTGGGATACTGGAATAGCATCCGGAAAGGAGGCAATTGCGTTTCCCTTTCAGCTCCAGCCGTTCTGATCATAGGAAGCCGGTTATCTTCGTGTGTATAATATTCCGTAAACGGCGGGTATAGGCTCTGGCCTGGATGGACACGAATGGGCTGACGAGGTTGCTCATGGTCCCTCAATTGCCAATGCATGGCCTCCACTGCTCTCCATGGCATTTTCATTTCGTTCGCAATACAACACCACATCTCGTGCTTCTTCCTGCCGCCCGCTGTTAATTAGTGCGACATTGTGAGCATGAAACAGGTAGGTACAAACCGATGATAGAGGTGCGAGAGTTCACTTTTGGCCTCCTCATTCCATTTCGCTTGTGGCAGGTCTTGTAGTAATGCTTCCTCACAGACAGTCCACGGTGGACGATCTGCAGCACGATGCTTTATCTTGAAAACACCACTAGCTCTATTCAGTCCACTCTGCTGCTGGTTGGTTCTGGGTCGTGTCACGGGGTCACGGTTGGACGCTGGCTGTTGGCGTTGCAACCCGTGCCCGCGTTGGTTACTGTGAGGCAGTAAACCCATTCTGCAATGCTAGGCTAGGAAGCAATTCCAGATGTCGTACAATATCCTCTCTCGAATCGAGACGAGGAAAGCCTTCGGATGGCCGACTTGGTGGCTAGCATAAATACAATAAATAATACCCAGGTGGGGCACTGACTCAAATCACCCAATCTTCCTCTGTTGTAGCTGAATCAAAGAACCAAATATCACCGGACCATGGACCCGAACGAATGACTGCCGGCGCTGCGGATTGGTGCTCAGCTGTCCTAGAGCACTTGGCCGCCAGCTGCCTGTTCAATGCCCTGCGCACTGCAAAAATCTGGCCACAGGCTAACTCCATGAAGGTTGTATAGGACTGGGTCACTGGCGACTAGTAACTCGGATCCGAAGTTGGGCAGGAGAGGTAGGATATGTGGCGGGATAATCTTGCCCATTCGGGAATGAGGATATACGACCAGTGTAGACAAATATATATTAGATTAGAAATAAAATTAAATAAAAAATAAAAATAAAAATAAAAATAAAAAATAAGAATAGAAAATAAAAAAAATAAAAAATAAAAAATAAAAAATAAAAAATCCAAGGCTGAGCCCAACCCACAACCGGTCACTTTTATTGAGGCTCGGGCCCCCTACCACCGTTTTCCGGAACTTGGAGGCGGTCCAATGAGCCTGACTATGCTACAGACCAGACATCCACACGGACGATTCGAATAGGTTGTCCTTTTTCCACCTTCGTCCGAATAGCTCAAGGCGGGGATGACGGGTCATGCCGTGGATGAGAGCCGACCACACCGGTGATGAACCACACTCTCTAACCCAATACCATACTAATCCTAAACTGGTTAAAAATCAGGAAAACAAAACTGGGTCGCCACACCGGATACACTGGTCAAATGGAACCTTCCATAGAAAGGTGGGTCCTGGGCCTGGGAATACGCGGAAAGACTTCCGTGCCTCGCGGACAACCAAGCGCGAGAGTCCCGGCAAACTTATACGTGATCGCTGAACGTCAGCTCTCTAGTCCCCGGTAGTGGGTCACCTTGGAAGGATTGGATCGGAGCCTTCTTGACTTGCATGGCTTGGCGTGATCTGCAGCGCCTCGCGCGTCCCGGTGGCGGCCTAGCAAAGCCTCTGGTCGGTTAGCGCCTAAAAAAGGTTTAGACGTAAACGACTGAGAAACTCAACGAGACCCCCGGCAAGGGCGGTATACCCACCTAAGAGAAAACCATCCTCCACGCCAAGCGGTGGCAATACCAGGTCCACCGATTCATCCAAATTCCTGCTGTGCAAGACGATATCCAGGCTGGAAGGCACTAGCGAGAGGCATAACTGGCCTCTGCTGGTCTCAGCCTTGATAGCCAAACTTGGTGGGGACGCAATGATTCCAAATTGGACAGCCTGTGTCCATATCTATGATATTTCGAACTAGTTTGCCCGACATGTGACTGGATCCGTTGATTGATCGCGTATGAGAGTCTGGCACAGGCCCACAGAGTAAATTGGGTTCCCGCGATGCTACATGACATTATTCAACATAACACGACCGGTAGCGGTGTCGTATTGCCTGCTTCTTCTTTGCGCCACGCCTATGGTCCCGTGATAGTTTACTGTCTCAGGCAGGTAGTCCCTTCGGCAAGTTAGCCACAGCACACAGGAATGAAGCCAGCTTTGACCTACTTCGGAGGGGCGGTGATGACGGGTGTTTCTGGTTGTGCTCGATCAATGACCGGCTCACCATGGCGATCAGTCGCCGAGCGTCCGCCGTGCCCCAATGGTCGAGGACTACGCAAACCCGCGGGTCCAGAGGATCGAAGCTGAGCATTGGGGGAGAGGAGGAATCCGGTCGACGAATCTCGCTCTGTCTGGGTCGGTCGATTCGCTCGATTTGCTCGATTCGCTCGATTTGCTCGATTTGCTCGCTTTGCTCGCTTTGGTCGAAATTGGAGGCTGCTCCCCGTCATTCTTGTATCGGCCGAAGCCGTTTCGCAGCGAGCTCACCGTCCTGTGGATGCCTTTCTGGCGACGATATTCCACACATCGGGCTTCCCATGACAGATGCTTGTGGCGACGCATCCAGTCCGTCACGTCCGCCTTCTCCTCATCCGTCCAGGTACTGTATTTGCCGCTAGGCATAGTGGGAACGCGGCGGATCGGATGGGGATCAATGGGGCCAAAAGGGACAAGGAAAGTTTGCTAGATGAGAGGAAAGGATTGAGCATTTGTTTCGTGCGAGCTGAGGGCTCCTCGACCTGTGCAAATAAATGCGGCCCCGATGCAGAGTGGTGCATTGAATTTGGAATACCGGTGGCCAATGGGGGATGATTGGAAGTAAAGGCGCTTCCTACATACGTCCCATGCCTCGGCGAAATTGGCGTCGCTCAATTTTGCGCGCTAGATCGCGGAGGCCCCGAATGCCCAAAACCTCCGACGGTATGCACGACCCACCACCGACTTGATGGGGCCAGGTGCATAAATGCGAGGCCGGGCACGGGTTCCATCAGAAGACTAAGACCCCCCGGCTCCTTTCGCAGCGTAGAGTTTGAGGGGACGTATACCGTGTTACATACTCTTTCTGTGGCAGGGATCTAGAGACAGGGGGTGCACGGGCATGAACCGGCCCTGTGAGGCGCGTAGACCGCTATCTATGAATATATATATATATTTATCGTGCAAATTGCTCCCCTGGAATCAAGACCTGTCTTTTTCTCTTTCCACGTTCGCTTCAGCATGTCCGTTCCTGGTCAGGCCAGGCCGATGGGGGCTAGCTTCGGGCTGTCCGCTGACAGCCATCAAGATTTCTATAACGAATGGCTAGCCCGCCAATTTCGAAAAGACAACAAGGCGACCGATATCTATAGCGTTCCCGACTCCCCCCCACCCCCTCCCGTCGCAGACTGCCCTTTCGAATACGTCGACGAAGACGTGTACGAAAGCTTCGACTATCATCCTGGGCACGGCATCGACGAGGATCCGTCGGACGACGAGAGGCCGCCCGCTCAAACGTCGATCACAGCACCCGTCGATAGTGCAGGTGGCCCTCCGGATGATAGATCAGCGGCGGATCCGAGGAAGGTCTATACAATGTGGGTTTCCCCGGCCATTACCTCGCACGACCCCCTGCACTCGCTGACAAGGCTTTAGGATTGAAAAACAGATGAGGTGAGAACGCAACTCTGTATCTCGGAGGGGATAGCTAAATTGATGGCCCCGCGCCACAGTAATTCCAGTGACAACTGGAAGAAACAGCACCACTATAACAGGGAGATCCAAAGAAGTGTGAAGGACATGGCGGAGTCATGCGATAAGATCCGTCCCCTCGAAGATACGGTGCTCAAGCTGCAGGCCGAGGTTGCCAGACTCCAGGGTCTCGTCGAACAGCAGGGAGTGTCAGCCGAGGGTCCAGACAACCGGAGGAAAATCCGCACTAGGAGATCGCCGCAATAGCAAGAGTAGAAAGGGAAATTGTGGCGCCTTGGTTTCTACCGATATATTTCCCCGTTCGAGCATGATAGTACCGATTCTAATCTCTACCTGATACAGTCCAGTCATCATCTATCGTAATACACCGGCCCCGCAGGGATCAACAGTAGCTAACAGAAAAATAATCAGGATGACCACATTCGGAATACGCGGGCGTGGTCACGGCGCCTGTCTTGGCGAGCGGCTCGGCAGACACTACCACTGATACTATAACCTATCATATTGAATGGCGGCAATGCCGCCTGCTAAAGGGAACGTTCCATGGGAATGATCACAGCACTAGTTGGATAGTCCTGGCATCACAAATGGCTCCCTGCTTTACTTTGTTACCCACTCTTCTGGATAGCAGCATTCGCACAACTCCGGCCATTTGAGTTACGTGTATTACCATGATCAGTGAAGGGCTATCCAACTCCACCTCTGTTGATTTTCCAAGGGTACTTGAGAGGATTTACAGTGATCCTTTACGAAATGAGCCGTTCCCCCTATCGCTCTCGGGTTGATGACATATAATTTTGCTGACAGGAACTGATTGTTACAGTAGGAGCCACTAAACAAAAATAGACTAGCCCTTTCCCCTCTCTTTTCTTTTCTTTTCTTTTCTTTCTTTCTTTCTTTTTTGTTTCTTTCTTTTTGATTTCTTTCTTTTTTATTTCTTTCTTTTCTGTTTCTTCTGTTTCCTTTTTTCTCTCTCCTCTTCTTCTTTGATTCCTCTGGATGATCCGGGTTGGGTGCCATTCTATATCTAACATTCTACTAGAAAAAGTCTTCTGTACATAAAGAGATATGTAGTTGTCAACATATAGTCTGCCATGGCTCGATGCCAATGGGTCCCTGAGCACCCAGCGTTGAGAGTTCAAGATTCGGATGGTTTGCAGGAGGGGACTGGTCCACCAAGTCATATAGGTCCCCCTTCTGAGACCGAAGCTTGTCATCGTCCACGAACCCAGGTGGGCTCGGCGAGAAAGTCACCATACCCGCCTCGGCTAGTCTTGTTGTAACTACCTCCACTACAGATGAAGCCTGGTTGAAGATATCCGTGAGGACTGACCTGTATTGTTCCAGTGGAATGCCACGGTTCGTGTTGTCGAGGAGCGTCTGGCGGTGATCGGCCTTAGCTTTCCACCCGCGAGCCTCTTCGAAGAATCTGCGTTTGTCTCGATTTGCTCCCTCGAGAGCCTTTTTCAGATTGCTGATTTCCTCCGCCGTCTCACGCTCTCGCTGTGCAATATGTGTCCGGAGCTCCTTGCAGTGTTGATCGGCGAGGGTGATCACCGCGTTACAATCCGGGTGGGCGGCTTCCATGGCCCTCTTAAAGCTTGGCGAAGGTTTGCTCGGAGCATGCGCAGGGTGATTCTGTTCACACCGTCAGGTCTCGGTATTTGCCTGGGGTTCGGCGATGGGGCGTTAGGCTGCTGCTGGCCGGAGACCTACCTGGATGTGGCTCTGCGTGGGCGACGCGACCGACAGAATCGAGTCCACCGCATCGTCCGGCCATACTCGAGGCTCCTGTGGGGGGACGGGCCTTCGTCCCGCCCGTCGGCCAGTCCCAGGAACCACGGGTCCCGCATCGCGGGTGCCTGAGATCTTTGGCATTGTGGAATGCAGGAAAACTAGACCGTGACTGTCACGGACAATGCAGGGGAAACAGAGGCCTCTGTACAGGTTACCGCTGCGGGGAGGGGATGAGTGGCTTTTAATGTACAACTCTCGATCTGATGTGCAGGGGTAAGTTGGGGCGCTATGGCCTGCGCTTTCTCTGTTGGATGATCTACCAGGCCAACGTCTCACGCGGTGTGGGCCGATCACCGCAGGCCAGGCCACACCGCGCCTAAATTTTCAGGGCTAGGGGCGGCACTAGCCTTTCGCGGTATGACGCCGGGGTCCGACCGCCGAGGTCGGACGCCATGACGAGACAAGTCCGAGGCACAACACTCCAGCAGGGGTCTCTCGGCATTCCTCCTGCGATACAGGAGCTACAAGCTGGCATTGTGCTGGCACTAATCTACGAGGCCGGAATGGATCGTCGGCCAGATCCTTCCGGTAAGGGCCCTTGAGGGCAATGGGCCGTCGCGCAAGCGGGGCTTCAGGAGTACAGGGCGCATCGGCGTCGCCTCTCCGAGCGCAACGGTTCCGATTTGCCGAGCTTCATGGACATTATTCCAAATCGTGCATAGGTCGGTTCCGTCTATACTTGACCCATGGTTCATGTAGAGGAGCCGCCTCCTTGGGCCCCACATAAAAAGGCAGGAACAGGTTAGGATCGACATTTCGTGCATTAGCCCTTCCCCGGACCAAAGCCACTTGGGCAAAGCCCAGGCACATACTGATCCGCTGGTAGCGATGCGGGTCCTCGAGCTTCAATTTCATATTCTGCTCTCATTACCAGGTCCGCCTGGCCAGATTGTGCTCGGTCGATCGGCGAGAGATACTCGTTAGGAACTCGGGGAGGGAGAGGGGAAGTGGATCTGCTTGCAGGACATTGTTTGTCCTGCGACCGCTGCACAGATCTGTCAGGAACGGCACCACCCCCCCCCTCCCCACCAATAGGGGACCCACGCCTTAGGCTTTTAGCGTTGTGCATGCATTGACCGTTGCGCGACCTTATAGCCCCGTAATGCAGCTAGGAGGCAGCTACTGGGGTTACGCTAAAGTCTCCACTGACCAACAGGCCTAGATCAGTGACTTTTCACGCTTTCTCGACTTTCCACTTGGACCGGCCGGTCCCTGCTGGCTATAGTGCGTTGGTGTCACGCGCACAATGTGACCGATAACTTGCCCCGGGCGGTGTAGAAGGTCCTCGGAAGGCGCCTAGTTATTTCTATAGTCAACGCACGTGATAGCCCGCTAGCGCTCGCACAATCAATATCAACACGCGAAGGACGTGTCGAGATCGCTTTGATGATGGCTGCGATTACAAAGCTAGTATCGAGTTACTTCATGCTGAATTCGTAGGAGTAGTGGTCATCTTCGGTCGTAAACCCTCTCTAATAGCAAGGCCATAACGACACTGGCTTCAGTCAGTTTTTGTGTCCGACCTATCCGATTTACGCCGTGTGTGGATTCATACCGCTCCCTACGGTTCTCTTTTCCTTGGCAAGCTGATCATCTCTCTTTTTCGTTCAAATTTTTTTCGGCCGAATATACTCCGTACTAATTTTATTTTAATTTTTTTTTTTTTTTATCTTTTTCTATGGGACTAGTCCTTTCTCTTTTCAGTGTTTTGATTATCTTGAATTATAGCTAGTATCTTTCCTGATAGGATCACAACAAAGTATTCCAAATAACCCAGACTGGTACGCAGAAGAGGTTTCGTCCCCATATGTCTAGTCTGTAAACTTTTTCCCTGCAACATCACCTCTATTACGCTTGAGTTGATAAGCATGAATATAGGTAGGCCCGATATATACAATCATATAGCCAATATGGCATACCGGGCCTGAGTAGGAATACCTTACTGTTCTAAAGGAGACCTTGCTCCTATCTCTATTCACTTCTTGTCCGGGCAGTAAGCCTTGGGCCCACTCAACTCAATTGAATTGCTTCGGCATTCCCAATCTTTGTGTGGTACGTGAAGAACTTAAAGCCGAATGAGCAGGGCTCCCTGATAATAAATAGCCGTGCCTCATCGTGTAGAGTCGGATGCCCTGCGCTACCCAAGAACTTCCACATTAAGTCTCCTACTCACCTCCCAGAGTGAGTTCGTTCCTATCATACCAGGGCTTGCCATGGGTAGGCTCGGAAACAATGTCTAGCAGAGAGACCTGGTCAAGAGAGGAGATTGCAATCCTCCTATACTTCCGCTCGCGGTGTATCAGCTACCGCTCGCTTTATCTCCTTTTGCTACGACGGGGCTTCCACCGAACTCTGAAAGCTATAGAGCGGAAAACCTGGGTCCTTGTGAGGCAATGTCCACAACTGAAGTCGTCCACCGATCAGTGGAATCTAGGAGTGGTCGACTGCTGGATTGACCGCCTGGTGGGGAGCCATGAAGTTGTCAGCGGCTTGGTCCATCTTGGCGCTGAAGACGCAGAAGTAATAGCCTTGGTGAGTCGTCCCCTTGCTCTTTTAGGCTATGATAGCTTACACATGGATTAGTGTCAGTCTGTGCCTAGACTATTGAAAGAACTGGCAATGCTGAATAATGGCAGGCTGCAAGTTGCCAGTATTATTTAAATAATATAAACGGATTAAACGCCGGGACCAGGGTCATGCTTCCCTTTACGTTGCGCTTGACGCTTCTGCGCTATCTTGAGACATAAATATTGTGTTAGTCTGCTAGAGAGGACATCCTCAGGGTCTTGCTTGCCATTCAAAAGAGCCTGGCAATGTATTTGAGGGCGTTCTAAGCTCATCAACTATTCTAGGCACAAATCTGCTGGGGAAATTAACCGCGTGGCCCGCATGGCAACCCTGAACGAAATACATCAGGTCGCTCCTTCTATATTACTTACTATATATCCTGGTCCAGATAATTGATAAAGCTGTTTTGCTACCCCTTTATATTTCCTTTCATCCTTCTAATAGGCGAACACCAAAAGGCCTGTCCATGACTAAGGCGTAAAGCTTGCACCTTGGAACGTATTGGAGGCCCAGCTGTAGCAGTCTCCCAGCCGTTGATTCTACACATGTGCATATATGGATGGTGGACAACGTGCTCTGGATAGTATATCAGGGACGAAGCGATGCTCTCTCAGGTGGCATATCCAACCCTTTCCAGGAGGCAGTATCCCTATAGCTTCCTTGGTCTTTTTGCGGTCATGGTCTCTATCCTCGCCGTCATCCTCTTATCCTTCGAAGAATTCCATCATCCAAAGTCTAGGCTGATCCAGATATCAGAGGGGCATTTGTGCAGCGCAGTAGCCACTGCAGTTGTCTCGGGGGGGCTTGACGATTCTTTTAAGCACACAGCTTGAAGACCCTGTCAGAGCCACAGGCCTTGGCAGTGAGATAGGATGGCTACCTCTTCTACTCCTTGAGCTCTCTGGCGTGCAATTCCTTGTGGGGTTAGGCTACTGGTATTGCTCGCAAGCCTCTGTTGGGCTAAGCAAAGGCATGGTGCTATACATTTTCTCTTTGCTTACAGGATGTATTGGCTTATTAGTCTGGGGGTTTTACAAGCAGTCTACTATTGGACTATCGTTTTATCATAAGCAAGTCTAGATCTGAGTCTGTATGGCATTCTTACAGTAACTTATAGACAGCTAATTTGATATTGATAGCACTATCAGATTTCTTAGTTCTATTTGATAGGATCTAATCTATAAATCATGCTTAAATAATAAGATACATAGCTTAAAACAAAGTGCTCAAAACAAAGTGCTCAAAACAGAGTGCTCAAAACAGAGTGCTCAAAACAGAGTGCTCAAAACAGCGTGCTCAAAACAGAGTGCTCAAAACAGAGTGCTCAAAACAGAGTGCTCAAAACAGAGTGCTCAAAACAGCGTGCTCAAAACAGAGTGCGCAAAACAGAGTGCGCAAAACAGAGTGCGCAAAACAGAGTGCGCAAAACAGAGTGCTCAATGTAGAATACTAAAAATAGGATACTTAAGTTTGGAAATTTGAACATCTTACCATTAAGACTATCTCTCTAGACCTATTATGTACTCAGTTTCTAACATGTAAATCCAAAAGTCTCTTTCTTGAATGACTCTATATGCGAGAGTCTCATTCTCTATTATATAGAGCTAATTACACTTTTCTATTTACTGAATATACATGACTGAGTAGATTAAAGATGAGCTTGTTACAATGCCCTATATTCTGTAACTACTAAGTAGCACATATATTTCTACCACTCTTTTGTCAACTCTAAGCACTCTAGGGAGGTATTCAATCAAGGCGTATCATACTATCTTATTCAAAATAGCCAATCTGTCGACTGTTCCGCTTTAAAATTTCAAGTGTTCATGTTTTGAGCATTGTGGATACTATGAAGCCTTTTACAATTGCCTCCGCTCAAACCTTAGACGCATGTACAGTGCAGCTCGACTAGCCCAAGGGCTAACAAGGGTATCAAGATTGCTAGATGGCTGTAGCTTTCCAAATCAAAAACATCTCGGGCCTAAATAGCCCCCCTACACCGCTGTCCTAGGTCTTTAAAGAGCCTGTCTCTACCTCTATATTTCGCCGGCTCTATCACTGTATAGCCTGCATCAAATAAGCTTACAATTCTTCTCGCACTTGAGCTTGTGCTAAACCCGAACGCAGCAGTCACGATGAGCATGGAAACATCGGTAAGGGTTACGCTCTGTGGTCTTGGTCTCTCTAATAGTGAAACAGGAGGTCCTCCGGATTATCGCTAAGCTCAATACACGCGCAGATCGTGCAGAGCGGGTGGTAGCCAAGTACGAGCAGGCGCTCGCAGCTGAACGTCAAACATCGGCACAAATCCGGCACGAGTCGGAAAAACTTGCTACCCTTGCAGAGGTCCTTTATGAGACCAATTGCAGAATGGGGAACTTTTTGGACTTATTGATTGGGAAGCAAGAGATCAAACAGCCGGATGGAAGCCCTATGTCGTTCGACGCCATGTTTAATCTGGTGCTCAAGCAGTCCGAGCAAGCCGAGCAAAATCAACAATC